AAGGATGGATGGTTTCAGCTACAAAAGGTCCAATGAGTAACAACAAAGGTCAATTTATACTTCTCAAGACATAGCCCAAGCCTAAATCTACCAAGACAAACACTTCACGGTACAGAAAATGTACAGTATATCGTGTGACTCGAAGTGTAGCATCTGGAAAACAGAGTGAGTGAGGATCAATTGATTTGGTCATCTCAAAGTTTGCAACAAAGTAACAAGAAGAGATAGCTGTATCCAAACATCACAGCAAAGTCTTAGACCATCCACAATAGTAGCTCTCCTAATTCGATATCTCTGAACCATACCATGGTGATTATCTTGTGTCATTCACTCCAGTTCGGATAATGAATCTTCATTTAAAGGGACATCAAAAAAACAATAATGATATGGGCAAAGTAGCAACAATCATAAACCATTCAAGAAATTGTGTCTCAATCATTCGACGACAAATGTATCAGCTGGTGAGCCATCTCATAAGGTACCAAGAGACATGGGATTCCTAATAAAGCAAAGCCCATGGATCGTATGAAATGACTATATCAGATGGTGTCTAGATTGATGATCCCTCAGTCTCAGTAGTGTATCTTGGATGGATTATAAATAAAAGTGGTTAGATTCTTAGGTTGTTGAAGCTTGTATGCACTTAGATGAACAACGAAATACACTGTTTACTATGTCTGCTGATAGAAATACATCAATGGCATGGGATATAATCCGGTTGAATCTCCAATAGATGCAATATAGGAACCACGCACTTCTTGTGGTTCACATTCCACATGATTATCCACGTATACTGTAACTTTGATCATCGATAGATGCCATAGGTGTATGTGATGTTGGGTACACCAATGTAAGGATTTCAAAAGTACCACCATTTGGAAGACAACAGACTTCGAATCAAACTCATGATAAAACATTATAACAAGCCACATCGTATAGTTAGTTGTCAACTGGATATCATGTAGTTATTTTGTTTTCAATCTCTCTGTTGGACTGTGTAAGTAGAGCCTGCATCATCAAATGCCCTGGATTTTGTAAACCATCTTCTTCAATTTGAAGTCGAGACAATACACCAGTGACTCATGATAAAACCTTCAGATCAGTCACAAATCACACCTCTGGTTCCATATGATCCGTTTTGAGTACTGTCTTGTTTATCCCTTGGTTTCTGTTGTCTATGGATAAGACCTATTTCCTTGGTCATTGGAATCAACGATATTTCCAAGTTAGACAACAGAGCTCTTTGGGAACACAGCGCAGAACATTCAGACAAGTCTCATAGCATAACTGGCTTCCCAGAAAATGCACCATATGTGGTATACAACTGTCATCTTGTCTGAGATCCGTAAATGCGAGCTGTTTCATGAATCACTAAGACCATCACCAGTTTCAATTAGAAATCGATGTAGTTCTATGAGGAGTGAAGATAAAGCCACCAAGGCAGTTTCATAATCCAGAAATGTCTAGCCCTCATTGACTATTGGTAATGTGTACTTCTCCTTTGATTAATGTCGAGTAATGGTGGACTGTTTCAAGAGACACCTCACATTTGTGTTTCACTTATACCAAAGAGCAATAGAGAGCCACACAATACCATTACGCAATAGAAAACAAGAATACTCGGATATTGATACAATCTATCAGTATAACGTATCACATAATTACTCTTGAAACCATATGGAAATGCCAATTCATAAGTGTAGACGTGTTGATTCAGAGCTGTGTGAAGCTTTAGTCAAGGAGATAGGGCCATACCTCGTCGTGAGGAACTGAGGTGGCCTTTTGATCTGTGATTTGGATCATAAGTTAACCGAATGGTCTATGTGATCCATTGATACCAGTCTTCCCCTCCAGATCTCTCAGTGGAAGACAAAGTCTTGTACACCACGTGAAACCATTGGGACTTTCATATATGCCACCTCTAACACAGATCTTGAGACTTTCACAGTCACTCAAAGCTTTTCAAACCATTTGGAGTAGCCTTATATGATACATAGCAACATTGTACCCTAAAGCTACCATCTTCCAACATTTCCAAGCTTAGACTGTTAAGGGAATAAGTGTGTTGATATAGGAGAGACCCCCTTTGCTTTGTTGATGTTTTTTTTTCTCCACCACAAAAAACTTCAGTGGTGTACGGATGTTTTGCGTCAGCTAATGTGAAATAATAACAACCCATCGACGACAACTACATCACCAACAAGCAATGACAACAACAGCTTACATCCAAAAAGCCATCGACTTCAAGTACACTCAGTAAGGATCTCTATCATATAGAGTCAGCTCCATGTATGTGTGTAACTTGTTGAAGTAACACAAAGTGGTCATCGCTCGATGATCTGAGCTACAGGAGACCCAATGAGTAACAACAATAGTCGATTCATACTCGTACAAACACAACCAGCACCTCGATCTATCGTGGAAGACAGACACTTCACGATGAAGAAAGAGTGCAGCATACTGTGTGGCTCAAATTAGAGCGTCTGGAAAACCGAGAGAGCGGTGATCAGCAGCTTTGTTCATGTCAAAGTTCAGAAGATGAAAGTTAAAAGCGGTAGCTGTATCCAAGCATCACAACAAGTTCTTTGACTATCCACCATTGCAGCTATGTTCATTCGACATCTCTTAATCATACCATAGTGATTATCCTGTGTCAGTCGCCCAAGTTCAGATGCTGAGTCGCCGTCCAAAGGTGAAATGGAATAAAGTGTTGGTATGAGCAAAGTAGCCACAATTATAACACCATTGGAGAAATTGAGTCCCAATAACTGTTGAGGTGTACACACATCGGGTGATCTAATTCCCTGCTGATAGCCCATAGGGTAGTGCTATGGCTAGTGACACATTTGATGGCATGTGTATCTGTTGGTGAATTATTTCATGTGATTCCAAGAGACAAAGTATTGGCAGTCAAGTAGACTCCATGGACCATATGAGAGGACAACCGCATCAGATGTTATCCAGACTGACGATCCATAAACCACTGTGGTATATCTGAGGGTTACAACAAAGAGCCATTGGTCTATTAGATTATTGAAGTTTATACGTATGTAAAATGTAACGTAAATATATATTGCACACCATGTGTCCGCTGATAGAAATAGATCTATGACTTGGGACGTTATCCAGTTGAATCTACAACAAGACGAAGGAAAAACTGGAACAGGTATTAAACATGTTGAGATATCATATTCATGACAGTTGGCCATTAAGATTTGTGATATCGTGTTTAGTGATCGAAGATCTGATTACATCAACATCTGGATATCCGTCAACATTTGACTCTCTACTATGAAACTTGTTCATTGTCCACTTTGTGGCTTACCATTTCATGGCTTTACAACGAGGTAAGCTATAGAGGTTGAAACGTTAATACTTCCTCGATTATTCGACTAAATTTACAATATTTTCTCTGTGTTCTTCTTCACGTAAGGTATTACCATTCACTTGTATAATAGTGCCTACGATTACTCCTTCTTATGAGTCATTGTTCAAATATATAATTACCAGGCATATATAGTCTTCATCTGGTTTAGTCCAACTTTGTGTCCATCATCTCCTCAATATTAATGACCTCTTCTGAAGAATCTACTCTTGACGCATGGGAAGAAAGAAGATCCACCTGGGCTGGCTTCTTCTTGCCGATTCCAACCAGGAACAGATCAACAAGAGCCTTTCTTGCTCTTATAACGGGAGAGAAAATGGCATAAGATGCAGCGATAAACAACCAAATAAAGATAATAACGATCCAAGCTTTGAAGCCACCTCTACTATAGATGTAGTCACTTCCATACATTGGAAGTGGAACGAGGAAAATAAGAATAATGAAGATAGCAATAGAAATGATCTTGGCGTAGCTAGCGTACTTCGTGAGCTCGTCATTCTCAGATTTATCCTGTACCTTCATCGCGTTAGCCTCCTGCATTGTAGCATCATCTCCAACTGTGAATTTCTTATCCAAATCGTCAAAGTTATATGGCTCTGGATCTGGCTTCAATAGGGAAATGGCAACGATCAGAATCAAGGATCCAAATAACCCAACAAAGTTACCCACAGCACAGGAATACTGTTCACCCAAGGTATCTTTATTGACAGCTCCATAGAGCGACTTTGCAGAACCACACCATGAGATAACAGCAATCACAGTGGCCAAAGGGGGACCCACTACCCAAGATAGGGTAGTCATTTTTGACCAGAAGAGAGATAAAGTAAAGGCAAAAACACCAGGACCGATAATCACACCAATAAAACTTATAATCCATGAGATTGTAATACCAATGTAGTTAAAGAGAACAGTCAACCCACCCATAGCAATGGCAAAGAAAGTAACAAAAATGTGGGTCATTCTAACCAACTCCTTACCTGAAGCTTGCGGTTTAATATAAGATCTGTAGACATCATACGTCATGACTGAGGAGAATCCAATGAGTTCAGCGGATGTCGCAGACGTCGCAGCGAGCCAAACCATCAACAGGCCTGCGGCCACACCGGATTTTCCCAGGATCATATACATACCGTAGAGCATCGGAATACCTTCGTTGACGTTAACAGAGGGGATAAGATCTGGATAAGTTGGTGAATCTGGATCATTTACCAAAGCTAAGCTTGCCAGTGCGAGATTTGACAATCCCAGTGGTATAATTAGCCAACAAAGACCTCCTGTGAAGTAGCCAATCATACTTGCCTTCGGCTTTGCTGCAATGGCCTTCTGGGCATAACTGGGATCACAAAACACAGTTGAGAACCCTCCGACAACAATGTTCCAACCATTGAAAATAGCTTGTTTATTAGACCATGTAAGATAACTCCCTTCATGTCCTGCAGATGGATGTTCGATGGAAACATGAGTCAAGAGATCGTACATTTTATCAATGGAGCCAATCTTATCAGAGCTTGTATATGTCACAAACAATGCAGTAAGAATAACAATATATATGATGACGGTGTGAATCCAATCAGATATAAATGTTGCTTTCAAACCACCAGTGACAGTGTAAGCCCAAACACCTAGTGGCAGTAACATCGCAGCAGCAACTATATGCATTCCTGTGACAACGCTGATCGCTTGACAACCACCCAACAATAACATTGCAGAGATAATCACGTTTGTACCTATACCGTAAAACATGGATACGAAGTGAGCATTGCTTCCAAACCGTGCCTTAACAATCTCGAGGATCGTATGAGCACCTGGTGCTTTTCTTTTGATCTCAAGTGCAACACAGGCGAAGAACGTAATCTGGATTGTAAATGCAAATGCATACCACGCTCCACCGCAAATACCGTAGCTGTACGACATTCCAGAACTTGTGAGCAAGGTACCAGGCCAAGTCCAAGATGAGACAACACCAATGCAGAGGATTTCTGGCCCCACAAATCTGGAAGCTGTAGTAAAGTGCTCCGAAGTTTGTTTCTCACCAGCAAACTTGGCTAAGATCGTTGTGATCATAATCATGATCAAAGCGAAGACAAATCCCAATACAAGGATATAAATGTAGCCATAAGATTGGCTGAGGATTGGTTCAACTTCCACCATTTGGAGTGGAGAGGGGAATTATGGGCTTGTTTGAATCGTTAGACTTCGTTAATTGTATATGGTTGGGGGAGTAAAGGAATCGAAAGAAGACTGTATTTATAATTGCCATTTTGCTTATCAGTAGATCGATCGATGTTTCAATGCTCTGATGCTTGTGCTTGTTTAACGTTGTAGTTCATCATTAGTAATACCATCTATGAAGACATAACACCACCTCGCTCTAAACATCGTATTAGGTCTCTCGACCTAACAAGTAGTTACTAATTGGGAACATGACTACGTTTCAGATAAAGAAGGTTACACCGAACATTGTACTTTGTTTCCCTGATTAAAGCGTCAAAGACAAGAAAGTATAAGCTACTGATAAGGCCATGCACGGGGTTAAAAGCCCGTGTGCAATGTACAATGTGTCAAACACGGCGATATGAATTTATGAGTCAAAAAAACGTATAACAGGTTTAATTTGCCAGTCCCTGTGGCATTGATGTGTCTTGAACAGATAAGTATTGGAATGCATATGCGATCAAATGCAATTGCAGATCAGAATAAAACCTTTTTCGGCGAGCTTAATCTCTTGTTGGCATCCGTGGAATATCAGTTACAATGTATATCCATGATTTGATTTGTTTTGGTAAATACTGGGACCCCCCCCCCCCCACTCCCATGACGATTCGGTATCAGATATATAACAATGCTATTTTGGTCATTTGGGAGTCCGTAGCGCCCATTGAGTTTATCTACACTGTAGCTATACAAGTAAACAAGTTGATTAGAGTTAAATAATGAGGTATTGGCAAGTACATAACTAGTGCAATTGTAGCAAACATACCAGCAGAGCCAATAGCTAGTTGATCATAACCATTACGCCGAAATGACGATTGCTATGTTCGACTTTATCAACAATATCGGAAACATGGTGTGAAATTATAGATTCCTGATTAGGATGGTCATTACGCACTCGTTATCGATAAGAAAATAAGTCCAAGAGGTATACATAGATGTTTAACAATGGTACATACAGCAACAGGAATTATTCGGGGGGTTCTTAAATTACAGATCCCTTAACAACTAATCGATCTTTCGCCGAATGAAGTTCAGTGTCTATCAGTTGTTGTAGATAAACGTTTTGCTACCAGTCTCATAATTCGATAACAGATAAGTGATCATTCAGATATAACCGGATAAAGCTATATCTTTGAAATGTATTTATGATTCGGCCTTCTCGTCCCAAGCAACTTTACTCTCGTGGATGATTACTCCATATAACAATGGCCCCAGAATACTTGGTTAAAATAGACCTCAACAAACCAGCTTATGAGCAGGAAGGTGTGCACAATCGGTGGCATCCTGATATTCCTGCTTATAAGACCATCTCACAGAACAAGTCGTACAAGATTGAATGCTTTGACTGGACTGGAGGTCAAGTTGGGAACAATGACTCGGCAGATGATATCAAATATGCAGATTTGACAAGAATTCACTACCTCTCTGGTCCATTTAGCGTTGAAGGTTGTGAGCCAGGTGACGTTTTGAAAGTCCAACTTCAAGATGTTCAACCTTTGGAGAGACAACCGTGGGGTTACTGTGGAATCTTTGCAAAGGAAAATGGTGGTGGGTTCTTGGATAAACATTATCCCAAAGCTGCAAAAGCAATCTTTGATTTTGAAGGTATCTACTGTACTTCAAGACATATACCAGGAGTGAAATTCCCTGGAATTTGTCATCCTGGAATCATCGGTGTTGCACCAAGTCATGATGTGTTGAAAGAGTGGAATACCAGGGAATCACAGCTGGTTAATGAGAATCCAGATGCAGATTTTGTCATGGCGAATCTTCCAAACGATAAAGGTGTCTTCGCTGGAACAAAGGCGTCGAAGGAGGTTATCGAATCTGTAAAGTTCAACGGTGCCCGCACAATCCCTGGTAGGCCAGAAAATGGAGGTAATTGTGACATCAAAGCGTTGACAAGAGGTTCCGTGGTTTATCTACCAACGTACCTTCCTGGTGGACTCTTGAGTATTGGTGATCTTCACTTCTCACAAGGCGACGGAGAAATATCATTCTGTGGGGCCATTGAGATGGCAGGCTGTGTCACATTTGAGGTGAGTGTGATCAAAAATGGGATGGAGAAACTGAACATGAAGAGCCCAATGTATCTTCCAAGTAATGTTGAGCCAACTTTTGGACCTGATAGATACCTCACATTTGAAGGGTTCTCTGTCAATGAAGAAGGGAAACAGTTGTGCCTCGATACAACCGTTGCTTATAGGCAGACTTGTCTCAGAGTGATTGAATACCTCAGAAGATTTGGTTACAACGATTATCAGATCTATTTGTTATTGTCAACTGCTCCCATTCAAGGTCACATTGCAGGTATTGTTGATGTTCCGAACTCTTGTACTACAATTGGACTCCCAATGGATATATTTGAGTTCGATATCTCTCCTGAAGCTGAGGTCCAGAAGAAAGATATGGGGAATTGTGCATTTGCTACTGATGATTTGGAAGAGGGATTCCCACTTACCGATGAATTAGCTAACAAGTTCCTTGATATCATCAAGTCCACCAGAGGTTGTGGTCATTAGTAACTTTAAGTATTTAAAGAAGAGGTTGTGTTGTAAGAATCTACTCACACAAATAATCAACCTCAAAAATAATGCTTCGTATTTACTAATTCAAGTCTATATATTCAATCACTTCAAACGCATTCTCTCACCATACCTTATCAAAGCCTGACAGCATATAAATCCAAATATCAAGAAGAATGCACTGATAGTACAAGTCCATCCCACACCTATCGAGTTAATCTCTGTCAAGACAGATGCAGAACTTATGCCTGCTGCTATGAATCTAATAAAGTAATTTCCTGCAATTGCATCACCCTTCAGTTGAGGCATAGAATCGACACAGTATGTGTTAATACTGGGATAGCATATGGTCTGTGATACAGCTCCGAGAAACATCATTACAAGAGGCAAAGCCATCCCGCCTTTCTCTTTCTGTAAGCACCATCCGTAAACCAATACCGTACCTGGCAACCCCAACCCGTATGCCAAAAACATACTTCGCAGTCTGTCTTCAGGGACTCTTCTACCTCTTAGTCGCATATACTTATGGACGTAATGATCTGCCCATTTCCCTCCCCAAAAGGCACCAACGACGTATCCGAATCCCGGTGCCAGATAAAACAAGCCACCAAATATTGGCTTCTCGAGTCCAAAGCGAGGATCAACAACATACCTTATCGGGGTGAGAAGCGAGAACATGTTAAAGTGGATCGACATACTGATAATACCTGCGAGTGTCAAATTTGGATAACGGAACAAGGCCCATATAACTCTTGCAGGGTTGAAGGGACAGAACCAAAGTTTGGGATTGGACTTTTCTCGTCTCATCTTCTGCAATGTTGTGATTCTCGAAGTCTCAGGTAAGAACATTATGGCCAGCACGAGGTTGACAGTGGAAAGACCAACCTGAACCCAGAATATAACTCTCCAAGTAGTATAGGTAACAATGATACCACCCAGCACAGGGCCAAATGCTGGGCCCAATTGCGAACCTAACAATGAAAGGCCCATTGCGTTACCCCTTTCTGTAGGCTGATAAATATCACCCAGTATTGTTGAGCCAATGCTAAAAACCGGAGTTCCACTCATTGCACTTAGAGCTCTGAAAACAAAGAACATCGCCAGGTTTTGTGAAACAGCTGTCAGAATAGAGGTCAGCACAAACAAAGATAGACAAATGATCATGACCCATCTCTTGCCATATATGGCACCCAAGGGAGAAATCAATATCGTTGAAATCGCCATGCAAAAGTTATACACAGCGTTGGAAATGTTGATCACGGTACCTGTAGTATGGAACTCCTCAGCAATGATGGAAACAGCAGGCAAGAAAGACATTGAGCTCAAGGGTGAAAGGAAACATGAAAGTGATACTATGAACACTATGAGCTTCTTCCTAGAAGGCGAACATAGCGAATAGAAAGTCTCATCGTCCATCAGCTCTCGTTCAGTGAGCTGCTGTTCCTGTTGTTCATCCTTCTGAGTGGACCCAGTATCATTGAGATCCAACTCATGGGTTATGTGAGCTTCTAATTTGTCCGCCATTGAATAATAACATACACATACTTCCAAACTTCCATCTCTTTGGATCTGCTGCTGCTGCTAGTTTTCATACACTGTGATGATGTTTGTTTTAAATGTATGGCTCGTTCGAATACGTCGCATTACCCGATGGCGCACTGTTGTCCTTAACAAGAAAATACTCGGAGTTTTGTCGGCAGATCTCCGAGCTCATCACCGGTATATCTGAAATAGACTGCTCTTTCTTATCTACAGCCTTTGAGTCGTGGTGTATAAATATGGACACATGGCATCAAGTGACTACTCTCTTTCGTATGACGTGGTGAGGAACATCAATTATGGCTGTGAGAAAATTTACAATCGCTGGAGTACAACTTGGCCCAATCCAAAAGGCTACACCTAAATCCGAAACTGTTGCCAGACTGACTGGTTTGTTGAAACAAGCTGCTGAAAAGGGTGCTAAACTTGCAGTGTTTCCAGAACTCGCACTGACATCTTTCTTCCCAAGATGGCTGATTGAGTCCCAGGAGGAGATTGACAGTTATTTTGAGAAAGGTGATATCACGAAGAATGAGGTTGTCAAACCTCTTTTCGATGCGGCAAAGGAGCATGGAATCGGGTTTGTTCTTGGTTACGCCGCGTTGACTGACGATGGCCATCATTTCAATACCTACATCCTGGTTGATAACAAGGGCCAATTGGTTCAGAAGTACAGAAAGGCGCACTTGCCTGGGTTCGTTGAACCTACAGAAGGTATCGCATTCCAACAATTGGAGAAGAGATACTTCGAGTACGGTGATTTGGGGTTCCCGGCTTACAAATCTGATCCAGAATGGCTCGATGCAACTATGGGAATGCTCATCTGTAATGACAGAAGATGGCCTGAGGCTTGGAGATGTTACGCTCTTCAAGGTATGGATCTATGCCTTAACGGTTACAACACCACTAGTAATGGCACTGCGCTTTTCGGCTCCAAAGAGAACAAAGAGCTGAGAATGCACCATTCTGATTTGTCAACCACTGCCAATGCCTATTTCAACTCCTGCTTTGCCGTCTCAGTGGCCAAATGCGGCATGGAAGACGACCAAGAACTTATTGCTGGATCGCTCATCGTTGATCCAAATGGTGTTGTCATTGCAAAGGCCAAAACAGAGGACGACGAATTGCTCGTCTGTGAGATTGACTTGGACGAAGCAGTTAATGGTAAGAAGAAAATGTTTGACTTCTCTAGACATAGACGCCCAGAGTTATATAGTAGATTGGTTGAACAGAAGGGCTCCATTGATACTCCCTACGTTCCATACAGCGCGTAAATGCATGTTCCTTTGACATCATCATATGTAGATTAGTTTTAATTATCCTGTCGCTGAAGCTTTATTCAACCCACGCTCTTGGAAACAATACTGGAAGAAACGAGAGGATTCTTTGCTTCAATTACCAAAACCCTTGTGAAATATATATAGTATACTACAATCATCAATAAAAACAAATTGTGATTAAAACAGGGTTATTTAGTCCTCAATAAGAACAGCGTTGGTGCGGATCATATTTTTCTCCTTTGAAATTGAAGACCCAGATGATGCAACTTCTTGGCCAAGGCCCTCAAGAACAATGTCAGGCTTGTACAATGTGTTACCAGGGTCTTCTTCAAAGTTGTCCAGATCAGCCATCCAAATCTTTGGAATGTAAGTACAGATCAAATAATAAGATACAGATGAAATCACAATACCAGTGACGTACGAGATGGAATAGAGATAGATAGCTCCCTTTGGCACGCTTGTGTTTCCACAAACCCAAGCTAAACCTGGCAAGTTTGGCAAGATTCCAAAGATAAAAGAAATAAAGAATGGGATGTTGAATCCATGGAAAAATCTGTATGGTCCATCAATCCTGTAGAGGCCTGGAACGTTGATCTTTCTCTTTCTGACAATCCAATAGTCTGTACACATACATCCTGCAATTGGTGCAAGGAAAAGACTATAACCACCAAGGAAAGACGAAAAAGACGTGGCTGAGTTTTGAATGTACCAAGGACAACACACAATACCCAAGATTAAACACACATAGGCACCACGTCTTGGATTTATCCAACGTGGAAACCACAACGACAAATCGTAGGAAAACGACACCGTATTGGCAGATATGTTAGTCATCATGGTGGAAAATGCCCACATCAAAGATGCAAAGAACTGCGCAGCTCTGTTATCCCAAAGCACTTCAACTTGTAAAGGATTCCATGTTTGGACCCCATAGATCACCTTTGTAGCTGAGGTGACAATTATGCCGATCAAACCACAGATGGTTACCAAAATAACAAGACCAACAAACTGCGGCCACCACACTTGTCTTGGTTTCTTCGAATATCTTGTAAAATCAGAGATGTTTAAAGCTAGCGTTGCCTTTGGACCAATAGCTGAAATCATACACCTAAAGAACACAACGGCTACTGGTGTTCCATCTTTGATGTCAGTTCCTTGGTTGAAAATTGGGCCGAACCCTTTTGCCCCATGGACAGCCCATGCAAAGAGCACAATAGAGAAGCAGATACCAGCAATGATCTTTATGGTAAACAGAAAACGCAATTGGTTAACTGTTAGATAAAGAGCAGGTATTTGAACAATGATACCCAGGAAGAAGCACAAGAGCCCAGCGCTTGTGATCTCTGCAGATTCTGGTAAATGGTTCTTAAAATGATTGAAAGATGGCCAAATAGCAGAAATCATAGATTGGATACATTGACCAAGAAGAAGAGTCTGAGTACCAGTCCACAGGACACAAACCATACCTCTGATGAACACCATGACATGTGCACCAGAGAATCTGTTACCAGCACCAGCAGAGGCGCGCATCAGAATTGGGAACCCCAGGCCATACTTGGCTCCCAACGTAGCGTTGAGCATAGCAGGGATCGAAACAATTATGTGACCAATAATGATGGCCAATATGGCTAAGCCCGGTGAAAGACCTGCAGAGATGGAAGAGGATGCAACTTGGTACATGGAAATCGACATTGCTTCCGCGATCCAGAACCCCAAGTTGCTAAACCATTCCCACTTTCTCTCATCAGACCACTGCGGAACAGGGTCCAGATCTTTGTTTGAATAGAGATATCCATCTGAGTATGACCCAGGATCAAGAGGTATCTCAAGCTTTGATTTGATTTCAGAGAACTTCATCGCTCAAATGTTAAAATGATGATGGGCTTAGTGGTGGTGTAGGTTTCAATCAGGAGTGGACTCTTCTGTATTTTTATATTTGACCCATGCTCTAGTGCAAAGACAGAAATCAAGGTACGTGCCATCAATCTCAAACGATAAGGAAAACAATTTGATGTTAAACGATATGTCTGATGATCTTCTTATCTCGTCGGAGAAAATTTCTTGATTCTCCGACGCTCCCATGAACATTGCAGGTGACGGACATTTCTCAGTTCGCAACAACAAGTGCTACCCTAACCACATATCATTTCAGCGTTTCATTTAGCCGATCTGTATGGTGTTCTTTTCTATCTACAAAGTGAATAATCTGGGTGGTTCTGTTTATTCTGATGTTGAACTGTGATAAGCTTCGTCGTTAACGATTGTATGGGGCTTTTCGTTCCCGTAGAAATACTGAACGAGGTTCTTCACGCATTTCTTTTCAAAGTTTTGGAAAGAATCTCTAGTACAGACACCGGTGTGCGGAGTCAGTGTGATCTTCCAGTTACGTAGAAGTCGTTCATCGATCTTTGGCTCAAACTCGTGAACATCGAAGCCTGCACCGACGAGTTGGCCACTCTCGAGAGCAGCGATCACAGCAGCTTCTTCGACTATCGGGCCTCTAGCTATGTTCACCAGGCGCACTCTCGGTTTCATCTTCTTGAACGCCTCAGTATTGATAAGGTGTCTTGTCTCTTTGGTGTAAGGACACGAGATGAAGATGCAGTCAGCCTGAGCAAAGAGCTCGTCAATCGACTTACAGTACTGCATAGGCGTTTGTGCCTCCAACAACGGTTTAGGCGATCTGTTATGGTAAACGATATCCATACCGAGGCTTTTACATGTCTTTGCAACAAGGGACCCAATGTCGCCCAAGCCAACGATACCCAAAGTCTTCCCGTTTGGATCCTCTCCGAAATGCGCAATCTCTTGGCTTTGGTAATACATTCCAGGGGTTCTGACACAGTGTTCTGCGAATGTCAAATAACGGAAAGAGTTCAAGATCAACGATATACCAATATCTGCAGTGGCTCTTGAGCAGGAATCAGGAGAGTTGCAAAAGACAATGCCTCTCGAAGTCAAGTAATCAACGTCAACGATATCGTAACCATGACCTGATTGCACAACAATCTTTACAGACTCAGGCAACAACTTCACTGCTTCGTCCCTGAGGATGTAATGGTGAATATATGGGTTTGATTTAAGCCATGCAGAGCGACAAACACCATCGATGTTACCAATCTTACCATGGTCTGGCTTTCTCAACTCGTCCATATACTCTTCCACTGTGTCAAAGTCGTAGTTAACAAGCTCAAACTTCTCATTGAGTGTCTTCCATGCTTCTTCGTCATGAACAGGCTCATCCCATGGAATGTACAGGATCCTTGGCTTTGCGACGGTCATTGAATAACGGCAAGATGTTAGCAAGAGGAGACAGAAAGTAGAAGCTTTATCCAATGCTTCTCTCTACACAGTCCATGCACAGTCAGTTCAAACTGGAGCAAACCTGTTCAATTATAAAACCATACACAACAAAGCAAACACAGGCTCCGAGTTGGATAAAATGTTCATCTCAGCCGAGCGCTCGGCTTTCTCTTAAGGCTGCTACAGGGACAAATTAGCGCCTATAAGCGGAATCGGAGAAATGCCCTCGAAAACTCCGATTGGCCGTTCCAATCAAATCATATATAGCTGAATTGCATAATTAGACATAATCTTGACCTCTTGATAGCCGCGATTCTCTACTGCTAGAGAACAAGCCAGCCTTAGAAGTCTTCAAACCACTACGCACCATACCGGTGAGGAGATTAACACCTGTAGAAACCCCATCAATGACTTGTACTCCGTAGTCTCTAACGGCATTGGTTACTGCAATCTGCATATCAGCCATACCGGCACATCCAAGTACAATTGTATCAGCACCTCTTTCAACGACAAGCTTCACCGCGACTTTGGACATGAGGAACAAGACCTCTTCTCTAGGCTTGGTGTGGAGCTCGGCTACTTTCAAATTTGTGCTCTCTAGCCCTGCACAGTATCCATCGAGACCCATAGATCTGATTGCGATACCGTGTCTTATCGATGACCGTGCCACGGTGGTGATAACACCAAACTTACCACCCAACATTCTAGCTGTGTATATTCCAGCCTCAAAGATTCCACAAATAGGTACATTGAACTCTTCACGTAGACAATTGGTCAAAGGATGGTCAGAGAAGCACGCAACAAGGACCGCGTCGACCTGTTGGACGTAATCGTAGCTGTCTCTAAAAGTGTCAGCTGCAGATAGCACACCATCCAAATGGCATTCAACAGTTGATGGCGCAGGTTGTTTGGCTGTGTATCCATACAGGGCAACATCTGGTGCCAAAAACTTTGAGGCCATAGAGAGGCAATTCGATGTCATGATCTCGGTGGAGTTGGGGTTCAACAACAACACTTTGATCTTGGGTCTTGTGCTCCCTACAAAGGGCAGCTGGTCCAGTGTCTTCACGGTCATTGTGTCGGTTAGCATCATCACAATGTCACACAGGGGTACAGTTCAAAAAGCATATACTGCTGTTATAAGTATATGGCGGATATTGAGACTGAAGACACTTATCGGGCATATTGTGGCTTATCGGAGATCTTGTTGAAAAACTCCGACGTAGTTGATAACAACTCATCCGTCTCTACGCATCGTCCATATATACCTCCTTTGATACCCATAATAAGCGCAAAAGATGTCAAGAGCCTAATCTTTACTAACCTCGATAGGACCATGTTTGATCTCGTCATCCACAACGGTCATATCATTACAGCATCTGATGTGCTTCCACCGTCTGTTTACATCGGTGTTAAGAACGGTGTTATACAAACCATGACCACTGAGATACTACAGGGTAAAAAGGTCATCGATGCTCAAGGTGCGCTTATCACTCCGGGTGGTATTGACTCCCATGTCCACTTGGATCAGGATAACGCCCCAACTGGTGATAACTTTGAAAGTGGTTCCAGAAGTGCGGTTGCTGGTGGTAATACCACCATCTTGCCGTTTGCAATCCAGCCAAAGGGCGAATACGACTTCCAAAAAGTTGTTGATGACTACCATAAGAGAGCCAGTGTTGGGTCCTACTGTGATTATGGGTTCCACCTCATCGTTTCCGATCCAACAACGGAGTCTCTACAACAGCTCTCTCAAATGATCGCCAAAGAGGGTATCACTTCCATCAAAGTTTACACAACTTATCCCAGATATAAGTTGAATGACTCTCAACTGTTAGAACTGCTCCTTGAGACTAGAAAGCTGGAGATGACAACTATGATCCACGCTGAAAACTCTGATGTCATTGACTTCATCAATGGGAAACTACAAGAGAAAAAGATGACGGGTACTTATTACCATTCGGTTTCCAGACCACTTGAAGCAGAAGATGAGGCATCTTATAGAGTCATTTCGTTGGCAAAAGTTATCGACGTGCCAATCTTGATTGTTCATATGTCTTCGGAGACTGCACTATCTCATGTTGAGAGTGCTCAAAGAAACTTGGTTCCGATTTACGCAGAAACTTGTCCTCAATATCTGTTTTTAACAAGCGATTACTTGAAGCAAGGCTGTTGCCATCACAAGGGTCATGGGGAAGATCCGTTTGAAGGCGCCAAATACGTCTGTTCTCCACCACTGAGACAAAGCCAGTCTGAATTGGACGGTGTTTGGAGAAGTATCCAGAACGGCACCGTCACCGTCTTCTCCTCTGACCATGCTCCTTCACAGTACGATAACCCAAAGGGTAAGAAATTGGGATTGGTTGATGGATTGCCCCATTACAAGCAAATACCTAATGGTCTACCAGGAATTGAAACACGTTTACCTTTGCTCTTTTGCTACGGTGTTGAAACCGGAAGAATCACACCACAAAAGTTTGTTGAACTCTGCTCAACCAACCCTGCAAAGATCTACGGCCTTTCAGATAGAAAGGGAACCATTGGAATTGGCTACGATGCTGATTTCACCATTTGGTACCCAAAAGGTGAGATGAAAGAGTTTATCCTGGATAACGAAATGTTACATCATGACATCGACTATTCGCCATTTGAAGGTATGAAATTCACCAACTGGCCACGGTATACAATACTGAGGGGCCAAGTCGCTTGGGATAGGGACAACGGTGGTGTCGTGAACAAGCTTGGTGATGGAAACTACTTGAAAAGAGGACCTTCCACTTTGGCAGGCCCAATGAAGGAAATAAACCCGATACTGGCATAGCAGCATACGATATCTGAGCTATCGGTATAAGCTACTCATAACTATTTGGATTCAAAAGTACCTTTAGATAGCTATAGAACCGGAGAATTGGAACCTCAAACTCCGAACATAAAGACAGATAAACCCATTTTAAACTGCAGGCAAGTTCCACGCTGTAGTCACTGCAACTCTGCTACAAAGTACTGCAATTGTACCTCATCTGTTGTTTGAATGAGGCAACTTATCTATATAAAATGAGTAAACGACTCTGATTGGTTAGAATCTCGCTATATAGTGTCCCTATCAAAACTATAAGCGAACTTTGCATATGATTCACTGAGGTCTTTTGATAGATCTACAACTCTTTCCAATACAAAACAATGGGAAAGGGAGGATAATTACACTTTTAAACGGCTCCAGGTTCCCTCCATTGAGGGATCACAACACATGTCTCAAGTACGGTATCTGTCTGTAAAGAGTTCTAGGCGGTCACACCTGGCCTGTAAACGGTGTCGAGCGCAGAAGATAAAGTGTTCAGGTGGTGAGTAATACAACGTCACTATATCCCACATTAGCTGGGCAGACACTAACAGTTAACAGGCAAGCCATGTTGTCAAAACTGCATATCCTCGCGAAAGGAGTGTGAGTATCCCGTGAAGGATCGCGTTGTCACTGTTCAAGAGTCTGACATTTTGATGCTTCAAAGGAGAATAGCAGAGTTGGAATCTCTTATGAACAAGCCTCAAGAATCATCGTCTCATACTAGAGGTCTCGTACTACAAGATAATGTCTTCCAAACTTCAACAACGACGGATAGCTCGCTGTACTCTTTTCTGGACGTGGATGGAGATGACGACATCATCTTTGCCGGTAACACACTGAGACATTTCTATAGAGATCAAGATAACAGCCAGATTACAGAGCAATTGAATATCCCTGAGAAGCAATATTCACTTTTTCTAGTGGAAAAAGTGATAAAATTTCTAGGACAAGAGTATTATTTGTTTTCCCCACAATCATTGAAGAGATAGAAGCATTATATAAGGAAGACGGTGCCAGACCTGATTCTGCTTGGATGGCATATTTCTTTATATTGTTGGCGATCGGTCAACAATATCTGGATGAAACACACGCTAGATCTGAAGTGCCTGGGATATCGTATTTTAACACTTCGACGAGGCTGATGGATACACAATCAGAGGAACCAACAATTCAAAAAATCCAGACCCTACTGCTTGTTGGGTTTTATCAGCAAGGCTTGAACAGGTCTATAACGGCATTTACACACTATGGATGTGCTGTTAGAATGTCGTTGGCCATGGGACTTCATAGAAGGATGAAATCGTTACCGTTGGAGGAACAAGAACAGAGGAGACGACTCTGGTGGACATGCTTCTGTATGGACACCGTTTGGACTGCAAAATTGGGCCAACCGGTACACGTTGAGATGGCCGATATTACTGTTGACACAAGTGAACTGATCACTTTAAACGATGGATTCAATTCCGAAATATTAAGAGCCAACGTTCAGCTTGCAGTTATCACAGGAGATATCATGAAAACGATCTATAGGCCTACTGTTAAGAAAACCATTGATGACTTACTGAGTGCCTTGAGGAAACTAGGTAGTTTCCAAAAGAATCTTCCACCAAGATTGAAGAGCTCAATCATTGTGCACAATGACAGAACTGTTGCTAATTTATACCTTCGACTGAATCAGATTGTCATAATAACAATCCGTCCATTGGTTTTGTCAGTCTTCATTGGACAACAGGATACCAATGACAATAGTACTGAGATAACACAAGCAATCAAGAGATGTGTGGGGGCAGCTTGTGCGAACATAAACATTCTGTTCCATCTCAAGGAGGTTGGGATGTTTTCAAAATTTGGCTTCTGGGATGTAAGATATCTCTTCTCCTCTTTACTGGTTCTCTACATGTCATCAACTGATAAGAATCTAATACCAGGAGGACGTGACCTGAACCGCTTGATGAGCGAAGCCGGTAATTTCACTGCTATTGAGAATGAGATACGATTGCGAGAGTTAGATTCGTTATTTGAGAAATTTAGGGACGAAGCAGAAACTGAAGCTAAACTATATCAACACTCTGACGCTATTAGTCCGAATACAATTCTCCTCAATGAAATCTCGAACATTTTCACGACTCAAGAGGAGACTGATGATGAGTTTCTAGATTTCATAAGGCCTTTTTCGAAAGAGGTTTCACCAGAGGTGTGGAAGAATTTGACTACCAACTTACAATCGTGGGACTCGACTGGCTATGTTTAATTAATGGACTTGAATTCTCTTAAAAGATATGTCGCTTGTAGTAATTTATAAAATATCCCTACTTACCAAAACACCATGCACTACAAAAGATACAAATCTACTCTGCACCATTATAAGCAAACTACTTAAATTCTCGAAACAATCTTCTCATAATGATTTAATTTCCGTCTCTGCCTTGGATTCAGGCTTTAAGCTGTGTGAGTTCGGACGCTTCGGCTCTAATTAGAGAGTTTTGGGGATTTTCTCCAAATCTTACGAAACATCCACAACCTCCTCCAGCTTGTGGTGGAGTGTTACCCCGTTTACCGGGAAAAAAATGTGATCCACATCTCAACAGATCCTGTTACAAAGATCGTCAGATTGTGAGATTGTGAACGGTATAAGTAGACATCTTAGTAGAAATATTCATATCAACACATTCGGAATTCAATTTCGAAATAAACTGATGCGCTAAATTCATCTTCTATAGTTTTCCAATTTCCACTATAATAATGAATCGTGGACACTTCTAGGATGTGGGTGCTTTGGATAACAAGAGCAAACAAACAGAAGCTTATCGGATGGTGTCAACAACACGGTGGGTAATTTTTCCACGGTCTTTCGAACCGTTCATGAAAATGTGCCATTTTATATCACTTGGTCTTTTTTGTCTCAATGGACTTCCATTCTTGTATTTGACAAAGATATTTCCTATCCCTACTTGGGTGAAGGGAATTAATATTTCTTTAATTGTACAGGAAATTATACAAATCTATGATGGGTTCGTCAATCCTGTTGCTATGGGTGTCATTAAATGGAAATACCACAAAGTCTATCTTTGTATTCTAGCTGTTGAGCTTATCCTTGTATATCCGACCTTGCCAAGATACTTGTCTTGAAAGTTTCTTTGCTGGTTGATTGCAGATAAAATGGTCGAGATTATATGTGTAACAGGCATTAAGGCAACCGACGTAATAAAAACGATTCTTCTTCAAATAGAATCTAAAACAAATACTTTATTGATCATAATGGAAATGCCGTGATGGTAAACCGTCAATCCTCAATTGAACACAAATTGTTATGATTTCATAGTTATCACCACCGTGTTATTTCAAGAGAATCTTCCTGGCATCTTCAGTGGATCCATTGGAAACGGGGAAACCAGCATATTGGGGGAAGGGTTAAATTAAAATTCACTGTAATACTGGGAAAAGCCCTTGAAGAATCGAAGAAACACTCCATGATCGATTACTACCAACATTTCGGGTTCCAATTGGGACCATGGAGGATATTATTGGGACTAGATACCAGTTAGAACTAAAACAATGGTTGTCACTACCTGTCTATGATTACAATCCGATAGCTGTGAGATCAGTGGCTTGGATCAATCTCTGCCAACCCATTCCCAACATCTAAGATTATTCTTGTACCAATATGATCTGAGAGTGATGCTGCAACAATTGTAAAAAACGAAATACTGAAAACAACACCATTGGTTATTGCCCATATGACAGCACCGGAAGGATTACCCATAGCAGCTACCCCAGGCTAGCATCTATTGGACAGAATTTAAAATGGAATCATCTCATCCAATATTGGTTAATTTTAATCATATAATAAGAATGAGTCGGTTAGATTTCATCAGGTGAGGAACTCTCCCACCAAGGAATTTTCGTGAGGTAGAAACTGTTTCAAAGTAAGCACATGCTCTTTCATCTTTTCATCATCTGCAATCAGGGATGCATTTTGATCTCCTTCAATACAAAGCTTCAACAATTTTGTATTATCAGCTATAATGTCAATCATTATCATGGTATTAGAAAATCAAATATGAAATTCTCTGCTCATTGACAGAAAAGATTATCAGCTTACTAAATTTTTACCTTGAGACCCCCCCCCCCCACACTTTCCTTTGTTGGATGTTGGAGGTCTCCAAGCCTCTTCATGTACTGTAGACTCTTCAGAAAATGAATTATCGGTGCTTCCCCTTTTTGATTTGTTAGATCTCCCATCGAATATGATTCTTGTTGACAAATGTTGGAATCAGGAAAGAGCCACTTCGAAGTTCGGACAAAATATAAAATTAGGCATGCGTTTTGATCTGTGCATATGGAAAAACTCGATGAGGGATAACTATTCTATTTCGAAAGCTTTATACAAGGATATGATACAATTCACTTTGGGTCTTGAAATAGAATGTAGTTCTTCATTGAGGAGATCAAATAATTGACTAGTCATTTGATTAGGGGTTACGGAATTACAGAGTTCTTCAAACAACATTCAAGGATTTGTAAAACGGACCACACTGCCAACGTTGAAGTCCGCACATCAACATTCTCTTTATTCTCAATCTAAAAGCCAATAATCCAGGTCTTCTTAGAGATCTCATGGTATTATCTGTAGTAACATAAACACCCGACACGTAACAATTGTTTGGTTGCTTGAACGAGAGAACTGAATAATGACGATGCTTCTGAAGTCCAACATTGAAGCGGACAGGCAGCTTCAATCCGAGTATGTAAGTTCATGGAGAAGATGCTCCCATAGATTATTAAGAAAGTGTTTTGAAGATCAGCAGGCTGTTTTAAATCTTCATATCTAATGCCTGTTATTAAAAAAAGCTTATTTATTTGCCTAGCTCTGTTTCCACTTTTAGTAAAATTTCTTTGAGTGTCTAAGCAACTAGAATGTTGAGGAGTTGCTACAAAACAATATGAGGTTATCCAATTGGAAACTTAGCCATTTTACAAGCTGCAATACATTCTGTTGACTGTTATATCCCGCATATGCGAGTCCATGTTTAAATAGGAAACCTTGACCAAAATCATTGTGAAGAAGCTTAAGTATTTTGACAGGCCATCGTTTCTAACTTGTAGATACCGGTAACGTACGGGGATGAGCAGTAGAAGGTCGGAGACTAGAAGTTTATGGAAAGAAATCATTCTAGATTAATAGGCAACCCATACCGTGTTCAAATCTTGTAAGCTGTACTATAACGCATGGCTTGTGAGAAAACGGCGAGCTTCATATTGGCAAGTATATTTTTCCATTGCAACGTCTTATAACTTTTAACGAAAACTACTAAATAGACAAGAATAATCAATCAATAAAAGAGAATAAAGAATTACAGAAGTGAAATCAATCTGTACACGCAGACGAATCAAAACAGAACAACTTTGGAAGGTTCTGTGAAATATCAATACTAGGCAGAACTTAGCCTGTCTATCAATATTTCAAGTTCGAAGAAAAAACTCCAAAACTCATTGAGTAGATAGTGGAGAGAATTGAAGAGGTCCTGGTTAAATTGAACCAGGACAAACGAAAAAGTAATAAAACCTGGTGTCAACTTCTCAGAATAGTACAGCCACAATAACAGATAGTATAGCTAAGAAGAAACCTTGCACTTGAATCTTTGATGCAGCACCTTCAAATGAGGAAACAACAGCAGCTGTTGGAGTTGGGACTGAAGTTAATTCAGAATACGTAGGAATTGTAATCGCTGGAACAATCACTGTTGTGGAAATAGTGCTTGTCTCTTCTGAATCAGCAGCAGGTGTTGGTTGTGGTACTGGAGTACCGGTTCCTATAAGATCTGAAATTGAAGCTATCTCAGTTTCTGTTTCGGCTTTTGGACTTGAAACTTCTGCAGAAGCTGTAACAAATGTGCCAACCGCATCTACTGAAGTAGTTGGGTTGTCAACAGTGATTCTTTTAGTAACATAGCTTGTGATTATCGTTTCAACCTCGCCACCAGCGTCATAAATAGTGATATAGTCATATGAAGTAACCAATGGCGTTTCGAGAACTTCTCCTTCGATTACTGTAGTCAAAACACCAGTGTAAACTTGAGATTCTGTGGCTGGGCAATATGTTGTAGTTAAAGTAACAGTAGATCCAACTGAATTCGTTGTTGTAACAGTTATTATAGAGCCAGTAACTATATTTCCAAACGCATCTGTGAACACTGTTAGACCTTCATCTCGAGTAAAAGTGGCGGTATCATCATCACCATATTCACCTGTTGCAGTCTTTGATGTATCTGTAATAGTATCATCAGAAGATCCACCAGTTGATAGGCTTTCACTAAAAGCGGAAGAATCGCTACTAGAAGTGGATGCGATGTCAGTGGTAGTAGTGTCATCGCTAGTAGAAGCAACAGCACTAGTAATGGAAGCACCATCGGTCACAGAGGAAGAAGAGGACAGATCATCATCAGAGGCTGTAGACTCGCCAGATACTGATGAATCCCCAGATGAAGTCACATCCTCTGATGTCAAAGATGATTCCAAGGACAATACACTAGAAGAATCAGAACTAACTGAAGTGCTCAAAGTTGAAGACTCTTCAGAAGTTGATGTGACTGAGTCGGAGAGTGTATCTGATGAGATATCAGAATCTGTCGTGTATGAAGCATCTGAGACCAAAGTATTAGAAAAGTCATAATCAATCACAGCTCTCTTCAAAATACGAACTCTTCTTTCATCAGGGGTGGTGATAGTAATATGTGCATCATATATATATGGTGCTGGACCAGTGGCCTGTGCTGATAAAGAGAAAATAAGCTCGGAAGTCTCATCAATAGGTTCTTCATAGAGTGCATCATAAGATGCATCTGTGAGGGTAACAGACCCTCCAGCATCTTTCCCATCAACTAAGAACTCTCCAGATACAAATCTATAGTCAGAATCACCATTAGTTCCAGTAATTTCAATGGAGGTCCATGGTCCTATTGACCCTGGTATATGAAGATCCCAATGAGGTTGCCCGTCAACATAGTAACCGGTGATGTATGCGTCAGTGGCAGTGCTTGTTGTTGTGGATGATACTGTTGAGGAAACATCAGCAGAAGAGGAGGTACTCAAGACTTCACTGGATGGAACAGTGGATGTGTCATCTGAAGATTGGGTCGAAGCTTCACTTGAGGAGTCGCTAGAAGAGTCAATTGAGGAGTCGCTTGAGGAGTCACTTGAACCTTCACTTGAAGTCTCCGTCACTGAAGTAGACGACTCTGACACATCTTCAGATAGCGTTGTGGAGGATTGTTCTGTTGATGAGTCTTCTTCACTCGAAGCTACCGAAGATTCTGAAGATATTATCTCAGAAGACGAAGACGGTGGTCCAGTCAGCGTCGCAACTTGGGAGCAGGTTTGGAAGTTTGCAAGTCCTTGACAGTCATAACGTAGACCAGCAGAATAGATTGGGCAGTCTAGGAAGTTAACAATGGAGCATGTGAATTGTTTTAAGAGTTGCTCTTTGGTGGCCCCAAGATTGCCAGTGTAAAAAGTTAGAATTTCATCACCGCCAGTAGCTGGGTTGAAGACTTCCCACGTCCAAGACACAAACTCATTTACACAATAATCAATAACGGAGTCAACGAAAGAAAGCAATGGGAAAATGACATCGTAAGTGATGATAGCTTCACCATTTTTTAAGTTGACAACACCAGAGACATTCTCAATGTCATCTCCGTTAGCTGCAACCTTGAATCCTGTAGCATGTGGACTTTCAGTAAACTTGAAGTACCAAGAAATAGAGAACTTTCTGTATTTGACAGGCACAAACAAGATTTCTGACGTGACAGTTTCACCATCAACCGTGTACAAGTACGAGTATTCCTTTTCTCTGAGAGTTGCAACATTTGATGCATACTTACAGAGCTGAGAAATGGTGGTGTCAGCATACAGATCAGTAGAAACTGTCTTTAAGTCAATCGTGGATGGTTTAAACCAGTCTGCAATATCAGTAGAGGCATAGTTTACCCAAAAGAATAATGCTAGAATCAACCCTTCGAACCTCATCGTGAAAGTTTGTTAATAAAGCGAGTGTTGGATATGAAGCTTTGAAGAATGAAGTGAATCCAGTCCAAAATTTCTCAAAACAGGATATTTGGGCTTCTTAAGTAGACCAAGGAAATGTACAATACTTTCTTTGAAGAAGTTCATAGTTGGAATATTGGTGCACAGGAAACTTTATGGCGATTTGATGACTCAATTTCCAGGGATATTATTTAAGCTGAGTTGAGCTCCAGCTATCGTGTACTTCAAACTACTTTCGTAAAGGAAATAACACATACGTATACCCACATGTGCAAGATTTGCTCTTGATGCGAACCAGTACGCATGGCCGTGCAGAGTGCAAGGGTACAGAATCTATCCCATATTTGTCCAAATAATCTAAGATCTACCTGTATTACTCAAGAGTCATCAGGTCTCTAACTCTGTCGAAAATATGGTCTGTGATCGTCCTTATATTTCTGGCTGGCAAAGATCCACGGTGTATAACCCTAACAAGTGGAAACACGTTTGAAATTAATTTTCTCTTGCCAGATAAATAGGAGAAAGGGACTGGGTCACTAGATCTCCCAAAAAAAGACACACCACTCGGGCACAGGGTCTCAATCAAGAATTCACTGATTCAATAGCAAGAATCAGTGGATCAATTGGAGTCCTACAAAGTGTCAAGTCAAAAAGGAAAATAAGAAAAAGATAAAGCGAAACTATATTACTGGGACCAAGCGTCGATACATGGGAAGAATTACAAATTCGTCTTTGGCGTAGCCGAATTGTCCAACCCCTTTTAATTTGTACACAAGTCATCACATCCAGTACATGTGAGTACAAGTAAACTTGAAAATTATCTTGGTATGCCATACATCTAGAGGTGCAAGGTCATGTGTGTAAGTCTCAAGGGTACTGACTTCAGCTCTGTGTACGCGCTGAGCGATAAATCTATCAAGCCATCTCCATGACGGAGAATAACATCAATAATGATACCCTATATATGTATTTAATCGTCAAAAAAAGCGACCAAGTAACCAAAGGCTTACCAAATTCTCCTTTGGAACTATCGAAAGAGGTTGAGAAGTAATTGTCAATGTTTATAATAAAGTGGTGATCTTTTTGTGTGTGTGTGTGTGTGTGTGTGTGGAATTGGCCAAGTTACAGCTCTGCCTAAGAGTCTAGAACAACTAGTTCACGGTAGCACTTCCCCTGGAATTATTCAGCCCCATACACATGTTAGTCTCTACTGCGATTCAGGAAAATGTTTGAGTCTTCCATACGTTTTTAAGCTTTTTTAGACTATGTAAGACTTGCAGATATGTCTCCAGTTGGGTGATTTTATGAGCGGTTTCTTTCCCTTTCTTTCATGGGAATGGAGTGAGGAATAATTACATGTATATTAACAGCTGTGTGAAGGTATACTTATTCTTTAAGTCAATCCTACCGCAAAATAAGAGCAATTTAACAGCAGTAATCGATCTTTTTAGCTGGTGAATTTTAATCAAGGCGCTTTTTGTTTAACCGATCTAAACGCGACGATTGTTGCCCAAACTATCATGGCCACACCATTGAGCCCTTTACATGAATTCCGAACCTACATTATTTCACATACTTCAAGAAAAACCAATCATAAATTTTATCAACACTATCCAAGCCGCATTGTTTAAGCATTTGCACCACCGTAGCATTGCTCGTTTTGTTGCTTACGCAAGTCATAAGTGTTCAAGACGGATTCAGCAGCCTTAACACCAGAAAGAGCCATGGCACCGAAAGTTGGGCCCATTCTGTTGGAACCATCAACTTCTGCAAGTTCCATACCAGCAATGACCAAACCTGGGGCAACCTCTCTTGTACCTTTGACAATGGCATCCTCAGCCTTGTTCATGTCCAAACCTCTCATACCTCCCAACTCGAAGGAGTTTTGGGTACCCTTTGGTCTCAGAGATTGCAATCTCTTAGCACAGAAGGCACCGAATGGACCATCATGACCAGTGGTTGAAAGGACAACGTTACAGTTGATGGTGTTTGGATCCATGCAGGATTGTGTATCGTGGTTAAGAGCAACCAAAGTCCAGTTGGTGACAACACCGGCAATTCTCAACTCACCAGTAGCATCATCACGACGGGTGATCAAATCTTCAACAGCAGTAGCGTTGAAAAGTTTAACATTAGGAAATTGCAAAACCTTGGACATTAAGGTGGACATGAACAAAGCTGCGTGCTTGACAACAACGTAGTCACCTTCATCCTCATATGGAACGTCAATCTCGTCCAAGAACAAGTTAGCTGGTTTTCTCAAAACCATGGCAGAGAACAATTGACCTCCCAACCAACAGCCACCACCTGGGGAAACACTGGCCTCAATAATAGCAATCTTGAAGTCTGGTCTGTTTTTTGCCAAAACGTAAGCGGCAGAGAGACCAGCACTGCCGGCACCCACAATGACAACATCAGACTCGGCGAACTTGTCCATATCAGCAAAGTATCTAGAAGTCATAGCTCTAGAAACTGTAGACTCTCTAATTGGAGTGAACTTGAAGCTGTCCCAGTCAGCGAAGCTGGCTGGAGCGTTGGCATCTTGGACATCAAGGTTGATTGGCTTGTTATCAAGATGCAAGACAGAAGATTGTTGTGTTTGAACAAGTGTTGGCGGAGCCATTTTTCAGTAATTGAAAGTGTTGAATAATGAGAGTTTACAATATACAAGGACGCTTAATTGGTGGATTATAGCCCGTTTATATATTCTTCGACGAAGCCATTCTATTAAGTACTTTCAACCGTTCCTCGATGTGTATTATACGCTTATGTAGGCTATGGACAAAATCCCTCCGCCTTTCCCCCTGATCAATCCCACCACATGGCTAACACTTTGATCACAAGGTTACCAAGGTTCTACTTAGCTGCATTTGTATTGTGTTGGATAGTTACATCTGATTATTGGAGGCCATAATCTTGTGGAGGTATATGCAGATACGGTGTATTATGCGTTTGTCGGTGCGTGAACGGTAAGCCGAACTTTGAGAAACAACCTTCCAGCTTAGCGAATATGCATTTCGAAACGAAATCATGGACTACCTAGACAGACTACCACAAGTTTAGTTTTAGGTATCCAATGTCTGAATGTGTTGTTAAGCATTTATTTCAGAGTTACGCATGTCTGATATATCTTCCATAGTCGCAACCTCTTTTATCACCGATATAGCCCTCTATATCCGATACCTGGAACTCATCTTCCAACGACATCTTTACAAATTAATGAGGTCAATTAACAACAAGTTCAATGATCTAAGGAATACTTTTTCTAACATCGGTCATGCACTTTTCATAAACTTCATCGATGTATGTCCCTGAATCATCAAGTTCATAGAAATTACCATCAACTTTGAACGACTCGCCCCTTTCGATAAATGATACGCATTCATCTAAGAACTGTGTCCAGTTGTTCGCAATCACGCATTTGTCATCGTAATCCCTTCCAAAGACAATGACTTGTCCAACTCTGCCTTTTGGGCCAGGTTTGAGATCAATTCCTATAGAATTGCCACAGCCATCCACTGCAAGTCCTATCCAATGCTTGGGATCACAGTACACCTCCTGAATACAATCTGGTGGGTAACTCACTGAGTGCCATTCAGCGAAAACTGGGTTGTCATCCATAACCTCTTGCCAAATGTTCATTTCTCTTTCAATATCGGCCAATGATAACAATGAGAGACCCATGAGGAATCCGCTTTGAGTGCCATCGTCGTGTACACCTTCTCCATTAAGCAATTGAAGAAACTGCCTCACATCTTCTGGGAGATGTATTGACCTTTCACGCTCAAATTGTGTAACTTTATCAACGGGTATACCTTCTTTCAAAATATTGGGTGGTATATGAGGGAAATTGTTCTTAGAAACTTCTCTGAGACGATTCACGATAGTTTCAATTCCATCTGTAGTCATTTCTTTACTGGTTTCTCGGTTGTTCTTGGTCGAAAGTAGACCCAGGTGGATTAACTACTCGACAAATTTCAACGCCGAGCTGTTGAGTGATCGAATTTGGGGGCAACATGCATATGGAACGATGATCTACTCAAATGTCTGTGGGGGTTGTCAATATTGAAGGTTTTTTTACATTACTTTTCATTTACCATTTCTACAAAATGTTGAATAACAGACTTGCATTGTTTGAGAGAGACTTTCAGACGGCTATTAACCAATTGAACTATTTCCTAGTTATGTTCTAGTAAAGATTTACCAATGGGTCATGTTGTGATTTCTTTAATTTTTATCAACTTGGGACACTGCAAGACATAGCAATCATGACGCATAATGGACATCTTGTTGTTGTGTTTTTTTACCTAAAGGACTTATATTTAAGGGTCTCAAAGACTGAACTGAGTAGGTTCAAATGATAGCGATCATCTCCAAAGATTGACTTTGAAGCTGACACCGGCATCTTTCATTTATTAATTCATTCTAGACTTATTTTGGTTGCCTTTTGTGTACCGATGACGTAGCAGTTAATTAATATATCGACTTTGAAGAATTAACTGGTCATGTTAGTTACAGTTCATCATGAAAGGCATAACGGAGTGTACAAACACCCATATACATATAATGCTTATAGACTAACTTCAAATAATATATGGAAGGACGCATGAATGGTTATACGCTTGAGTATGTGCCTGGTGTGAAGTAACCCAGACCACATGTCTTTCCGATGAAGCTCAAAATTATCAACACTTTCTGTGTATGTATACATCATTTTGAGGATATTGTATCAACTGAAAATATAGTTTATTTTAGGGAGGTATCCAACACCTTTTCCATATGCACCCCTTTAAACGATAACCATCACGCTCAACATGCTTCCATGATATTTTCCAAGACAAGACTACCATATGCTTATTTTGCCGGGTTTCATGTAGCTCAAACACATGTACGAATATGAGTAATTATAGTTTACATTCTAGCTATGAAAAGGTTGTATATGAATACAAACTTTTGACCATCAGTACCTGAGTAAATAGTCTTGGGCTCTGTATCATTGTCATACCAATGAAGTCATTGATCAGGGCTCTTCACACCTTACTCATAAGCTCATGATACAGACAACTAAAATAAATCAATCGTTTCTGTACTCCAAAACTCACTGGAGCTGTAAGCATTAAGAACTGTGGCATTGGGTCAGTCGGATTGCAACTGATCTTCAAGGTACGCAAGACCTGTTATACGCTTAGCACATTGATGGACTTTCTTGGTGCTGTAAAATAATTACAAATACCTCCTTTATGAATATTAACCTCCGAACCAAAAGAGTATCGAAGTGGCTATGATTTTTGAGACTCAAAACTTTAACAAGTGTCACGATAAGATTTTAACAGTTTGATATGTGAAGGATGCAATAGAGATCTTCGATGGCTGGTACACGCACACCAAATACTCCTACATATGCAAAGATGATGTTAGATATACACGTGTATTCTCAGCTGGGATGAAAATATTTCACTCCTACAAAGGTTACACCAGAGTGATAGGTGAAAATTGCAAAAGAAGTTCCGTTGTTTAAATTATCAACCAATTTGTTACGAGCTTCTTAGCATACAATCGTGGAAAATCATCCATAATAGAGTCAAATAATGAACTTTGCTGGTGTGTTGTACTACGTTAACTGCGTTGCTGGAGCTGGGGCTACCGAGATCCATTGTGGAATATTGTCGTATACGAATGCTTAACCCATTGGCTTTACGAGAAATAATTTTCAGACTTTCCTCTTTAAGTAAACTTGGCTAATCCTGTCATATGCAACTCCGTATGTGACCTCCTATTGATATTTTGTTGAATATTTGTCGGCCACCACTATAATTCTCAGCTGACCAACTGGGGATTATTTTTACGTGGGTGCACGGATGTGTTATGATGTACATGAATGGTTATGAGCATAGGGATAATACCTCCGTATTGGCAACATGAGCATTGTAACCAACCGTTCATGAAAATGTGCCATTTTGTACCCCTTTAAAGTCGAGGAGGACAGCAAAAAGGTATATTTCTTTAGAGTAGCATGAACGCATTCCGGCGTGTGGGTCTACAGAGTTGCAACAAGACACTTGATTATGGTGTTGCGCACGCCGTTGACGTCGCGGTTTTGCTCTACGGGATTCAGCTTATAATCTTTCAGATATATTGACGTCACAATGTATGTTTTTACCACCAAGAACCTTTGTGTGGCTACGTTGCTTAACTCAGGATGTATTAGTTTAGTTTTATTAGAATGATACTTATAAAAATAGCAAACCCTCTTTCAATTTCCCCAGAGTATACCACAATGTAGCTCTTACCTTAATTGAGAGATATACAAATTATGATTATGTTACCTTCAATGCTTTCTGAGATATAATCAAGAAAAATACATAAATTAACTTATGTCTCAGCAACAAAACAAAAATTGGGAAAACTAATGACGGAAACAAAAGAACATATCTATATCATCATAAACATTAACTTTGAGCTTGATTGGACCAATGGTTCTTTTAAAATATATCAGAAAGTGCTGCCTTATATCTTTCTGGTTCTTCGCTGCCTAAGCAATCGTAAAAATGTAAGGATGTTTCCTAATTCTGTAGGTATCGTTTACATTTTGAATTCTTATCAAACGCAAAATGACACAAAACCAAGACAGCCTCATACACAAATACATAAAGTTAGAAAGATAACAGAAGAATGGTCAGAAACAAAAGATTGAAAAATAAAAGCAGAAACCTTGAAGGATATCCCAGGAAAAAACTAAGGACTCTTCATGGAACCTTCTAACGACGTCCTGAACCTGAACTTGATAATGGAACTATGGATGATAGAATAAGAAGCAGATAGCAGAAAGAGCTTTAGAAGAAATCGGACTTGATGGTGCCTTTGATTATGATCCCAACTTTGAATACATCATTGAAGATAACACCAACAGTTTAAATGAGAATGATGATCCAGTTTATGAACAACAACAACAACAACAGCGGAGACCGCGGAGACCACAGAACTCAGTTTATAATCCTGATGCCCTTGAAAAGTGTTTCCATTATTGTCATGCTCTCCTTATCGATACTGAATTATCATCTTTTTGTTGCAACAAGGCCAATGTTTTACTCGCTGAGATATTCAAAGAGTCTCCACAGTACATGAAGGATATCTTATCGGATCCAATCACTTCCAAATATTCTCGAACAATCAGTACTGGTGATTCGAAAGGTAGAGCTTAGTCAATGAGCATCAACGGATATTTATTCCATAGAGTTGATGGTATGATAGCTTAGCAAAATAGCTAAACGAAGTTTGCAGAAATTTATACACTAGATTCGGATTTCGCTACAAATCGTTATCTTGAATTGCTTAGAGGTATTCTTCAAAACGCTGAAGAGTATAATAAATTTGAAGATTACATTACCAAGATTGGTGAATTTCCATCTCAAAACAATCGTTATGCACAGCTGTTATATACCGCTAGAAAATTGCTCAACAGGAAATTACAGAGATGAGATTAACAAGAGAGGAAACTGTTGTTGAATTTACCAATATTGAACCAACAGCACCAACAAATTCAGAAGATCATACTTCTTTAGTTCCAGAGGTTAAAGAGTTTGCCTTGCTGCGCATAAGCATAACAGCAGAGCATTCTTCAATTTCAGTACGTATAAAGAAAAGATCTACAGGAAGTATCACTTTTATCACCAGTCTGTGCATGAGTGTTTTCTGACCTTTGAGATGTCCTCTTTTAATAAATCAAGGACGAGACAAGTCTTTTCCATACTAACAGTACTCGGATTAGTATGATTCTAACATATCCACACCACACGCACGCTTGTGACTACATATACGAAATCTTACGCTTCAGTTTTAGAAGACTCTTTTAATCGTTGATTCCGTTAGTTTCAAAATCATTCAATCAACGAAGAACCAGGCATTGAAGTCAATACCCGACAGGCAGCGCAGCTCAAGTTGATCTCGAAGGTAGCGGTGATTCGAGATTTACCGGAGAATTAGGGAAGGTCCAAATCGCGTTCACCATACCGAAGCACTACAGATCAACTTGTTGAAAGCTATGCACCCATAAAATTCAGCTTAGAACAACCTGATTGATTCCTCAGACACGCCCAATGATACAATTCGACACTCCATAACACACTTTGACCACCTAAACCGCCAATACAGGCCTCTAATCGTAGTTATTTCAAGTCTTCCATAAAATACATTCGTCATGGTACCATGATTACATAATTCATTACATAATCCAAAGACCTTAGTGTCTTCCAACCGCAAATTTCTACTGGAAGACATGAACTTGTAAACAGGCCTTTGGGTATCACACTCTTCTCTTCCTGTTAAACCAAGCCTAGTTGGGTCAGGAGGCAGCTGTGACGAGCTAGAAAGAACATTGTAGAGTACAATATACGATGGGTATTGTTGAGAAGATGTATGTGTGGAAGTTTAGATCAGAGATGCTCTGGACCTTACTAACATTAATACCAACAGCCAGCAGATCAAAGAGGAGCTTGCAAGAACTCAGAAGAACAAAGCCACGGAGTACCATATCGGTCTCTTGAAGGGTAAGCTTGCTCGTTACAGACAGCAGCTGCTCGAGCCTCCACCTGGTTCTTCTTCCTCGCCAGGTCAAGGATTTGAGGTTAGTAAAAGTGGTGATGCCCGTGTTGTACTGATTGGGTTCCCGTCTGTGGGTAAATCCTCATTCCTGTCAAAGATTACCAACACCAAGTCGGAGGTTGCCAGCTATGCATTTACGACGTTGACATCTGTTCCTGGGTTCTTGGAGTATCAGAATGCCCGTATCCAAATTGTGGATTTGCCTGGTATCATCGATGGTGCCAGTGAAGGTAAAGGTCGTGGTCGTCAAGTCATTGCTACGGCAAAGACTGCCGACTTGGTATTGATGGTGCTCGATGCGACGAAAGGTGCTAACCAAAGACAAATCCTGGAAAGGGAATTGGAGAGTGTTGGTATTAGACTAAACAAGGAAAAGCCAAACATCTATTTCAAACAGAAGACCACAGGAGGTGTGAAATTCAGTTACACCTCACCTCCAAAGTATTTGAACGAGAAGATTGTTTCAGGTATACTGAGGGACTATAAGATCCACAACGCAGATGTGCTTGTGAGGGATGAAAACGTCACTGTGGAGGACTTTATCGATATCATCAACGATTCGCATAGAAGTTACATCAAATGTCTCTACGTATATAACAAGATCGATGCCGTGTCGTTAGAAGAAGTGGATAGAATCGCCAGGGAGCCAAATACTGTCGTCATGAGTTGTGAGATGGACTTTGGGGTCGACGACGTTGTGGATGAGATTTGGTACAAGTTAGATTTGTTGAAGCTGTACACCAAGAGAAGAGGCGTTGCTGTCAACTTTGAGGATCCAATGGTTGTTAGAAATAACAGTTCCATAGAGGACGTTTGTAACGGTATCCATAAGGATTTCAAGAACAGTTTCAAGTACGCACTGGTCTGGGGTTCTTCTACAAAGCACAACCCTCAAAAGTGCGGATTGAACCATATGGTTCACGATGAAGACGTCGTTTCAATTGTGACAAAGTGAATAATTTTCTAATAACACTACACATTTGAGTCATATGTACAAGTGTGGTTTCCATGTGTAATACTATACCAAAATCACTTTTTAATGTTACCAGCTTTTACCAAGAAGTCCTTAGCTTCGTTAATCTTAGTGGCAACGTATGGAGAGCCACCTTTATCCGGGTGGTTCGCCAACATGATTCTTCTATGAGTGTCTTTCAACTTCTTCTGCGTTAATGTCGATTCTCTGAGGTTCAGTATCTGTAGTGCCTCCTTTCTAGTCATCTTTCCACCAAAGCCACCTTTAGAGAAGGCCTTACCGTTTATACCTGGCTGGTTCGATTTGAACGCACCAGCGATGAAGTACGCACACATAAACCCTCCGATACCGGCAAGAATCGGGTGGTTACCGATGCTTGTGACAGCCTGGTCGAAGTAGTAGTCCGCAGTGCCTTGTGGAGGAGTCTGATGTTGAGACTCATGCCCCGATGCTGGTGCTCCAAGGATGAGCTGTTGAGGCTGTGACTTCTCCCCAGGAACAGGAAGCGTTGGGATGTCGATCGTTTGCGCCATTTCTCTATCTTGCCAGTATGGGTTGTATCTCTCTCTCTCTTGAAGCTTTCCGGGGGAAGAAGAACCTGTAAACGTTGTAGAAAGGAAGAGAACAATTTGGAAAAGTGTCGATGGAAGCAGAGCCATAGAGAAAAAAAGCCGAGAGAAAAAACTCATGTATAAATACTCTAGTAGGAAATATTCCTCTTAAAGAGTGGTTATGAACACATGCTCTATTACATAATCAATTGTGACTAAAATAAGCCAAACAGGAAATTACTCAAATAGGAAACCGAAAAACTGAAAAGAAAAAAAAAATAGGCAGAAAAAATTTATGTCCTCATCTCATCTCATTTCCTTCAACATTGTCCATTCAAATCAGTTAAGAAACACCCTTTTGAGATGAGAATCTACCAATGTCATTTCTGCTCGTCGCCTGTGTATCCAGGCCACGGTATCATGTTTGTTCGTAACGATGCCAAAGAGTTTAGATTCTGTCGTTCTAAGTGTCACAAGGCCTTCAAGCAGCGTCGTAATCCAAGAAAGTTGAAATGGACCAAAGCGTTCAGAAAGGCTGCTGGTAAGGAGTTAGCTGTTGATTCGACGTTGACGTTTGCCGCTAGAAGAAACGTGCCGGTTAGATACAATAGAGACTTGGTGGCCACGACGCTTAAGGCCATGGCTAGGGTGGAGGAGATTAGACAGAGACGTGAGAGAGCCTTCTACAAGAATAGAATGAAGGGCAACAAGGAGAGACAATTAGCATTGGACAAGAAGCTTGTGGAGTCTAACCCAGAGCTGTTGAGAATGAGAGAAGTGGAACTTGCAAAGAAACTGGCCAAGGAAGAAGCCAGAGCTGCAAGAGAACAAGGCGTTGACGAGGAAGAAGAAGAGGAGAGTGATATCGACATGGAGAGTGAAGTTGAAAGCGAAAGTGAAAGCGAACAGGAACAAGTTAGACAAAAGGTGTTGTTGAAGAACAAGAAGCGTTCCACAAAGCGTACTGTATTATGATTTCATCCTTTTCTAATCCATTTTGTATGTACATTATCATTTAGTCTAAAATTTTTAACTATGATTTCAGGATTGCATCTCTAGGAAGTTTCTTGAAAACTGCAACGAATCCACCACCCACTAGACGAGAGCCAACCCTTGGCCTACAGATGATGCTCTCCTCTCCTGTGACCTTGACCCTGGTGTGCCTAGTATCCCAGTCTTGCAATCCACCACCCATCCCAGGCATCAGCTGAACAGTTCTGATATGCGTTAATTTGATATCTTCTTCTCTAATGGTGGTGAGCACATCCAGTATTTGAGTTATAGAAGGACAGAACACGACAAGAGGAGCATCTTGTTTCAAATATTTTGAAAGAGGTCCCATGGCGCCTGAGAGATCCGGAAGGTCTAGGAATGCACCACTTAGGAACTCTTCTGATGGATCTAATGACTTCCAGTGATCAGCACGGGATAACCATTCACTTGGGGACTCTGCAAGGTGGAACTCAACGTCATCAATGTACATTCCCCTTCTAAATTGGCGTATGGTTCTCTTACCAACATTTGAATGTGCTTCGTTACGATCAATCGAGTGTAAGACAGCACCTCTGACACCGTGGCTTTTGTAGAAACAGTTAGCAGGGTGTAACCTTGACACAATAGCAAGGGTCAGAGATCCGTGTCCTGTGCCTGCCTCAAAGAACTGTAGCGGTGGTTCTTTCAACCCACCAGCAGATGTCAACTCTGGGAAATCAACGTGTAAATCTGCCAATGAAACAATAGCATTAGCATCAAGTGGGTAGATAGGCGTAGCAGCTCTCCTTGATAGCGTTATATAGTCTTCAGTGGATGCCTCAGTCACTATGTAGGAGTTGTCCTGGCTGGATTTAACAAGGCTTCTGGATTTCATCCCGACAATATCGTCATGGGATATTGTTCCTTGGTTGATGTTGACTTTACCACCCTCCCTCAAAGGCTCTGAAAGCCAACATCTATCGCTTCGAACAACAGATCGAATCATCACAACATCTCCCTCGGCAAACGTCGCTACTCCTCGAATAGCCCGTCTCAACATTGCCCTTTGAATGCCCATTGATTACACCACCGCGGCTCTGGAATATAAACAAACCTTCGCTCAGAGATCCCCAAAAAACAGACACACAAAATGTAAACAAGCACTTAACATCAACATTAAAATCCACCCAAAAAGCATGTCAAATTTGGTTATCAATACCGACAGCTTAAAAGAGCACTCAAGAGAAAACCACATAGTGAAGGTTAGAATCTTGGGAATGGTGCTAGAGTATAACGCGCTGAGTGGATTCATAAGAGTTCAACCAATTATTAACCTAACACAAGGTAGAACGCCACTTGATATAAGGCTCGATCAACAGTTACAACTGGACAACGCGGAACTGTGCTACTCAGGTACAATGGTTGATGCAATGTGTATATATGACGGTGATTTTGTTTCCGCATTGGAGATTAAAGTGATACGGAACGATTTCACCACATCTGACAGGGAAACGCTACGGGCTATGAGCGAGATTAAAAACCATCCGCTATGATTGGTCTTCTATATCAGTGGCCTAAGCTATATACCGGTTCCCATAAAGTCTTGTCCCCCAAACATCTGCTTATATATCGTGTCACTTGAAATTTGGTTCATCAATTCAAATATTCTCTGTTGTTCAAAGTCCTGTGTGATGTGACCGTTGCCCCCATACGAATTCAACGGTGGGGTAGAAAGACTAGGATATTGACCATCCGATGAGCTCTCAGGTGACCCAGCTATTGATCCCTGATTTCGAGATACACGATGTTGCCATTCCTGTGGTGTCTGTGATTGTTGTTGCTGATGATGATGATGTTGTTGTAACATCCTTATGGTATTCATTGGATTTATAGGTGTTGGTTGTTTCAGATCTTTGAAAATGTCCCCATGTTCACTTGGAGTCTTTTGGTTCAACTGTTCAAAGAACTTGTCAATGTCATCTAAATCAGTATGTGTAACAATATTAGAATGGTCTGCGTTCTCAAATTTCATTCTGATCATGGCAAGAGTCAATATCTCAAATATCTCAACACATGGTGATGCCGCTTCACATGATTGCACTAATGAGGTCAATACATCGATCACTGTTCTTGATTGCCTTTGAAACTCCTCAACTGTGATTAAGTTATCCCTTGAAGTATATATGGCGTAGAAAAACGACGTCCCTGCCATGAATAAATTGTGTACTGCAGACCACGTGTAGTTCACTGTTTTGGATTTCAACAACTCTGCATAGCAATCGATTATACCCTTTGAAGAATCAAATATCACTCTCAATGTGTTATTTGTTGGTTTTGAATTCTTCGGCGTTACTCCAAATAGTAATATCTTTGTATGGTGATAGTTCAACTTGAAAAATTCGAAATTGAAGTCACAATTGCACTTTCTTGATGTCTTTAATGGTATTGCTCTAAACCAATGTTCCAATTGGTTATCGATCTTTTGTTTCCAATCGTTCAAATTGTTATAAAATCGTGGTAATGTTGAACTCGAAAAGTATAAAACTTCCAAGATTTCCGCTTGAATTCTTCTAATCTTGAAGAAGTTTAAAGATATCGTCTTGTAAGTCGGCAATGAGTTAGAGGCTCCTGTGAAGTCCTGTGTTTCATCTTCGTTAATCAGACAGTCATCCAATTCCACTGGAAACTTGGTAGAGACGCTCTCCTCAGGGATACCAAAGGGACGCCCCAAATACACACAGACTTGACGGTCAAGCGAGTAAGCACACCAAAATAGACGGCGTCTCATGTCTTTGACAAATGGAGAGAATTGACTGTTCAACTTTTCTGTGTGCAGCCCCAAATCAACACAGAGTCTTAATGAGGTGCCCAATATATACCATACTCCTGGATTTGAAGGCCTCATTATGGAGAATAACGTCATAAACAACAATCCTTGTAAGCAAACTAATCTATCTTCTGCAGAATATATTGATTCCACAAAGATCATTGCCTGTAGCCTGTAAGAGTTTGACGTTTCAGGGTCATAGTTCAACAAGTTTATCGATGATGAAATGGCAAATATCATGTGTAAGAAGAATAACGGTTGGTGAAATTCAGCCGGGACCTCTGATGCCTCATACGCTTGTAGTTTTTTCTTCTGGTATTGATGATACCAGGTATCCTCATCTGCAATTGGTGAAGTATCCAAGTTCATCTTTGTGTAGTTCGAGGCCAACTTCAAATCAGCTGATAGATTCCCATACACGGGTTTGAAGTAATGATTTATAAAATATTCTCTGTGTACAATTGGCAATTGGGTATTCGACTGTTCAAAGTAACACTTGATCAAGTACTCCGCCATCTGCTTATTAGGCAGCGAAGTTGTAATCTGCTGCGTACCATCCTTTGCAGTGGGTACCCTTGTAGTTATTGAGTTATTCTCCGTAATGGAGCCTGGGTGGAAATTGACCGCGGTAAACAACAATTTGGCAAAAGAAATCCCTGACGAATCACCGATATAAAACGACAAATCTTTCGAGTTGTTAGAGGGAACAGCAAGTTTAACACTCGTCCCTATAGAGTCCTTTGGAGGCTGTGACATCCCAGAGTTATTCGACGCAACGGAAACAGGTGAATGGTTAATCTGAGGTGAAGAGTGGTTGCTTGAGGGCAACACAGCACTGTCATCGTTAACCGAACCGTTAGGATCGATCCCATGTTGCTTCAACAGCGCCTCCAGATGGCCAATACGATCTTCAAGCGAAATCACATACGATCTGGGGACCTGACGACCTGTTGCAGGGTCCAACCCGACACACGCAACACCAGCTTTCAAACAACGAGCACAGCTCGGGAACTGCTGGTCACATTTGGTCTTCTTCTGTCTACACCGCTGACAAGCAGCAATGGTTCTCGAGATACCAACGATACTTGATGATGGCCTCCCGTTAGACTGTAAACTCCCCGTCGTAACTACTGTAGATGAGCCATTCGTACCAGTGCAACCAGCATGCTCATTCCCGTTCTCTTTCACCTCAATCCTTGCTACTTTCTCCACAGGACCTTCTTTGCTATCGCTCTGTCTCTTCATCGCCTCTACGTGTCAGCCGCCTCGCTCAAAAACTTCACCGCCAGCGTTTTTTCTCAACTTCTTCTGTTCCGTTGTTGTTTGTTTACGTTTGTGTGTTTTGTTCCTTGTTTTTCTTCCCTTTGTTTTGTATGCGATAGGCCCAAGCACAAAGATTGTTATCGCCGCGCAAGTTTTGTCAAGGCTCCTGTTTTGTCACGGCGCACGACCCAAAATTATGGGAAATATCCCGAATAGGTAATATCCCAATCAGGGCATTTGTTTACGTTTCGGTTGTTTGTTGTTTGGTTTTCAAACCCTCCGTCCCCTTCGACGTTTGTTGATGCACATATGTCTGACTCTGATTGCTTTGTTTACTTTGGCATATTTTCCTGTGGATTCGTGCACAAAGAACATGGACAAGAACAAATTCGAGGAGCTGAAGAGACTTTTCAACCAGCTGTCTTCGGATGAGAAGAAGAGTATCATCAGGGCTGGGTTGTTGGAGGAGCAGGGACAGTCTGAGACCGTATTGGGTACTAATATCACTTCGAAGCTGCTTGAAGAGTCGTTGCCGCAGGTTGAAGAGTTGAGCGAGCTCGGCCGGTCTAAAGGGCTCTATTTCGGTCATGATATTTCCTTTAGCGTTACAAAGGAGAGGCTGTTGAAAGAGGTGAAGGACTCCTTCCCATTGGTTCACACGGTACTGACAAGTGAGATTCCGCAGACCTTTGAGAGGAAGCCGTGGTTGATTGACCGTTCTGTGTCGAATGCTGGGCACGAGTTCTTCTACAAGAACGTGGATCTAAGAGTTAAAGATTGGCTCGTCGAATGCGTGATACCGCAGCACATCTCTTCGAGATGGCAAACTTTGAAGATGACGTCAAAGGAGCTGTTAGAAACTGCTACGAATTTCCAAACCCCTAGTGAAATGATGTCTTTGTTCACCAACGTTATTGATGACATGAGAATAGTGAGGTCACATCGCTCTCTGACCGAACGTTTGGAGTATTTAAAGCGTATACGGGATCAGATCTCAGAACAGTTCACCGACAATCAAGGAATGAGACATCTCGTTGAATTCCAATGGATCTTTGAATCCTTGAGGGGGTTAGAATCAAAAACACAAGACGACATCTTAGCGCTGGTAACGGAATCTTGGATGCAGGGCAAATTACCAGAGCTGGAGGATGTTCAAAGGTGGATTACAAGTCATGCCTTGGACGATAATGCATTACACGTTGAAGACACACCGTTATACAGGGGCAAGTTCTCATATCAACGGTTGGCACAGTTGTGTGAACAAAAGTATAATTTTGACAATATAACACAAGGATGTGAAGCATCTCAGATCGAAGCACCTCCTGTTGAGTCTCAACTTGATATCCACATTGAAGATTCAAGTACACCCAATCAATCGATGGAATCGTCATCAACGTCAACTGATGTCCACGATTTGAAACTACCGAGTTATGAGGAAGTTACAAGCAAGGGCAAAGTGTCCAAATGTAAAGAGTGCTATGGTCTAAGACACTCTTTCCGTAAGCATATCCTACCACATGAATACCGTCGTACCCATCTTTTGCAAGTTTATGGTGAAAAATTGATTCCGTCAGGCAGTACTTTAAAACCAGGAACCAACGAAACTCAAAAGCAGAGTTAGACATTCAGTCCTTTCATGGAAATTAACCATACAACGAAGATACTTATGGCTTAAGACTAAAGTACATGATAAAAACACTTTACTATTTATTATATAATTACTCAGAATAGTGTGTTTTAGTTTTCTTGCAATAGGAGAATACATGTGTGCATACAAAAATAAATCACTAATACATAACAGCTTCCAAGGGATTGAAAGACACATTATTACTGTCAACAGCTGTGTTGGCCCCTTTCCTTCTCATCATTAGATCAAGCTTGGGCCATTATACATCGAGTATGCAACTTGTTGTTGCTGCTGTTGTTGCTGAGGTTGTTGCTGTTGGAACCCAGTGAACTGGTTTTGCAACACAGGTTGTTGTTGCTGGAAACCGGTAAATTGATTCTGTAACTGCTGCTGCTGTTGTTGTTGTTGTGGTGGTTGTTGTTGAAACCCATTAAAAGTTGACATTCTATTTTGTTGGATTTGGTTTTGCAATTCCCAGTTAGCTTGTTGATTAAACTGATTAGTGCGTTGTTCCTGAATCGTTTGAGGGAAAACAGGCTGCGTTGGTAGTTGTTCATAACCTCCCATTGTAGCATGTGCACCACCGCCTGCAGCATTTGAAGATTGGAAAGGATTAGTCAGTGCATTGCCGGTTTGTTGGGGAGCAACGTTCCCAGTGGCAGTTTTAGATAGGGAAAATGGATTATTGGTATGCTGTGTTTCGACACTGGATTGCTCAGAGATTGAAGAGAGATGTGTTGACTTGTAGTTCAAAGAGAATGGATTATTCCCAGTTGCTGATGAAACAAGTTTAACGGGTGTTTCTTGTTGCTGACTCTGTGCTTGTACCTGTTGCTGCTGTTGTGATTGTTGCTGTTGCAGGAATGGATTACCAGTAGATTGTGGTTGAACAGTATATCCCCCAAATCCAGCACCTGTGAAGGAAGGAACAATCGTATCCGCAGGATATGAGCTGAAACTTCCGGTCTGAAGGCTCTGAACTTGGTTCGGCTGAACCTGAACCTGTTGAAGTTGAGCCTGCTGGGTTTGTTGAGCCTGGATTTGAGCATTTTGCGCCTGTTGTTGGAGGAATGGATTGTTGGTTGGTTGTGGCTGTAATGCCTGGGTATACTGGATCTGTAAAGGTTGTAGACTGAGGTTACCTAACTGAGCAGCCCACGGATTAGCAGTAACTTGACTTTGCAAAGGTTGGACCACGGATTGACGTTGTTGTTGTTGCTGTTGCTGCTGCTGCTGTGGATCCTGTTGTTGCTGCTGTTGATCCTGTTGCTTTGACTGCTTTGAAACAACGTTTCCGTTGTTCTTATACTCCTTCTCAGCCAAATACTGAGATCTATTCACTTCAAAGTTAGGGTCGTTTAGATAATCCTCGAGACTATCAGCTAAAGCAACAGGAGCGTGTCTAATAGTCGGAACGTGTAATTTCGTGGCATACTCCAAGTGTTTGGCAATTCTCAGGTAATTAACAACGTCAGTGGTTAATGTAACAAAGGTCTTATAGATCTCCAACGCTCTTTCAGCGTCATATTTGGACATCTCAAAGTAATGCTCAAGGATATTAATAACACCTTCGTTCAAGGTCTGATAAAGGCACAACAAGTCATTGACAAGCATTCTAAAACAGGTCAATACGATATCGTTGTTGATGTCGGCCTCTGCAAATCTACAAGAGATTAGAGCCTTAATCTGGGTCTCAACGCTTTCAACTTCTCTGAGTAGACCTTTATCCACAGACAGCTTCCTCAATGCACCTTTGTCCTTGTTGATCTGTGCATCCTTGACGAAGTCCATCTTCGTCGAGCCGAATTCCCTAGATCTAACAGACAGGTACTTCCCGTAACGCAACAGGGATCTCGAGTCCCCAGACTTGATGTTCCTGATGTGCTGTAAATCCAAGAACCCCGACCGTGACGACAGAAATGACAATGCAGCATCCTGGTGGCCTTCTCTAATCATGATATGGATAACCAGCAAAGACTTGTAAACAATGGACCATGCCGAGTCTCCCAGACGGGTGTGAAGAGCGGACATAACCTCTTTCAGCTCATTCTTATGGTACGTAGCGCTCAAGATGGGCTCGATGTACTTGGGCTTAGGAGCAGCAACCTATTCACTGTTAGTTCACATCAATTGCCATTGGACGTCTCCACAGGTGGAGATGTTTATAAACATAGAGAGAGATAACGCACCTTAATCTTTGTAGCTCCCTGTTCGGTGTGTGATGTTGTTAGTGACACTGGCTCAAGCTCAGCACTGGGGGAAAAGAGAGGATGTAACATACCTTAACCACCTTCTCGTACGACATGACTGTTTTCTCAAGCTTCGCTGCTAAATCTGTGGTCGCTTTAACTCAATTGGGCCTTTGTTTGTATCAACGTTACTACGGAAGGATGGCACCGTAACGGGACGAGACGAATAGAGAGAGAGAAAAAAGTTCCCACCCACACATGCCGCCGGCACAGGGAAATTTCACCGCCTTCGGGGAACAGCTCCGATAAATTTTTAGGGGGGGGATTTTGTGCTGTTTTGTGTGGGCTTGTCGGCTAAGGCTTGAGGAACTTTCCGATGTGCCGTTGTGTGAGTCTTGGGGTGTATGGATGTTTTGGTGTATGGATGGGTATTCGATTATATAATTATAATTATAATCCTGTGTAGATAGACCCATGACCAGTGCACCACGATATCTTTCAAGGCCTAATGACATCAGCATCCACTTTATACGACTGGGAGTGAGGGATGTGAATTTTTTGAGAGTGAATGTCCACTTATCATCCGGTTTGAGTGAGTTCCAGCTTTTCAGATGACTTTTGCGAACTCATACAAGTATCGCCATCTCCAAAAGAGGATGGACACACCCTACCGTGAATTAAATAAAGGAAACATATTACGTTTTTCCACCCAATGTGATATATTGGATGGGCAGATACTCAGTAACTATCATTATCTACCCTTTTCTGTTTTAAATGTCGGAAATCCTGGATTGTGCCCCAATATCTTTTCAAACGGATGATCTTTTACCACCAGGCGTGATATCTTCAAAGAGCACGCCTACAAAGAACTATCAGAGTCCACTATCCCTCTCAACCACATTAAAGCCAATACTTTATAATTCTGAGTCTGTGGGAACTCTCTTAGAGCTCTTCACCATCACTCGCTTGTGTCAGTACTAACAAGTATCATACAAATTCTCATGGTGGAATAAGACTTTCCTTGAACGTTAAGCGCCGATTTCATCGTAAAGATCTCTAGTATTGATGGTTCCAGGCTCATACTCAGGAGTTGCATGAAACTCTTTTCGCCAGCTCTGATGGCCATTCACAGATCTACATGCAAAATTAAGCAATTATTTGTATTACGACCGGTTATAAGTTTCAATAGACTTGCCCTTTTGTTTGCAATGCCGTCCAAAGCCGCTACATAACAACACGGAATCACGAAGAATGATTCTTTAGCAGATTTCATCGATCTAAAAGAAACATCTCACCCGATTTCCTAAAAAGGTTAACTTCATGAGGTAGAACAGAGCCCATTTGCATCCTTTCCAGTGTTAGAATTAGCTTTGGCTTATCTAGCAAAGAAGGTTCAAAGTAGATAACGATACTACATGATTCCATAGGTTCCAACTGAAGCTTTACTGCATCTTAGATCAGACTCTTTTCCGTGGAATTTGAGACCAAGCTGTCAGTGAGGGAACTTCAATAAATAAAGGCTGCAACTGGCAATAATATACAGATACTTCATTGGTATTCAATGTCAGAAAAAGTGTGCCTTGTAGTCCGTGTTTCTCCAGCGGGCAATTAAATCGATGTATGACACCGATAGCAGAATAGACTTTCAAACAGAAACACCGAGATGCACTGATTCAACTCCAATTTGCCTTTCATGGAAGGTTTTTTTGTTGACCATAGGAGCTGAATAGGTAAAGCTCTCTGTTTAAGAATTCAAGCCAAAGGAACGCATTCATGGAAGTGCTATAGTGTCTACTGTTGTGTCGTATCTGTTGCGTGCTGTTTGTATTCGTATTATTTCGAAGTATATCAATCCCTTCTCTTGGAGAAGTCGCTGAGGTATTTGGTGGTTTCATCATGTCTTTTGCTTGATTCTTTCACAATAGGGAATATTCAATTAGAGCAAATTATTTGATCTGACAAACAGCCCATCATACTGACAGGAAGTACTGTTCTTCAAGAACTAACTGTTTTCTTATTCAAACTTACCCTCAATAGATGGACAATATTGACTCTTGTTCGCTTTCTTGTGGAATCTACCTCAGGCAGGTTACTGAATTGTACTAACAATCAGAGAATATCTGTTATTAACCTTAAAACTTTGATTGTATTAATCTGGCTACAAAGAAAAAGAAATCGATCTAACATGATATTGACCTTTTATCTATAACGTTGTTAAATATATAAAAACAGGATAACTATAGTCCTGTCCACATGAAACCTTCCACAACGCTGAACTTCTCCACAAGTTCGATATCATCCGAAGATGAACCAACCTGAACTAAGTATTCTCCTGGAAGAACACACCATTTACCATGCCACTCATTGAAGTAAGAAACGGAGTCCTTAAGTGAAAGTTCAATTGTAACGTCACGTTCTTCATCAACTTCAAGTTCAATCTTTTCAAATCCCTTCAATTCCTTAACAGGTCTGATGATATCAGAATCGGACTTAGAGATATAGATCTGAATAACTTGCTTGCCACGAACTTTTCCAACGTTTTTAATCTTGACAGTAACTACCAAACGGTTCTCCAGTTCCAAAACTTCAACTCCTAAAGAGGACATTTGGAAAGTAGTGTAGGAAAGACCATATCCAAATGGAAAAAGAACCTTTTTCTGCAGTTTATCGTAATATCTGTACCCAACAAAAATATCCTCTCCATACAAGACTCTACCCATTTCTGTCTTGAATGACAAGAATGTGGGATTGTCAACCAACCTTTCAGGAAATGTGAGAGATAATTTACCACTGGGGTTGACATCTCCAAAGAGTACATCTGCAATGGCATTTCCCAATTCATTACCTCCAAACCATGCTTGAACCAATGCTTTACAATCCTTAATCCATGGGAATTCCACTGGAGTTCCACTCTGGTTAACAACAACACTATTAGGGTTTGCCTTCAACACTTGCCGAACAAGTTCATCAGTATACCCAGGAAGTGTCATCGACTGTCTATCATAACTCTCAGATTCCCATTCACCATTAGTGCCAATGACTAAAATAGCCTTATCAACACTCTTTGCCAATTCAACAGCCTTAGCTATTTCCTCCTGAGGATCAATTATTTTTGCACAACCATATATTATACCACCTTTACCTCTGAGATCAATTTCATCTTTTTCTCTAACATTGTATGTATTACAAGAACCAAATTCAATACGGATATGATACTCTTCCTCCATTGACAAATGAATCTTACCAACTTCTTGAATTGTACCATAGTGGAAGAATGATTGGCCTCTGGTCTGTTGAGTCTTGTTGTCAACAACTAGTTGATCATTGACAAATAACTGAGCAGTTCCAAAAACAGTAAGTCCAAATTCGTAATAACCGGTTTCTTCTGGACGAAATATCCCTTCAAAATCAATATAAAAAGTACTCAAAGGTGTAATCTCTGGATTTTGATAATCAAACAGCACATGATAAGATCTTTCGGTATCAACTTCATCAAATGCTCTTCTGTTATCAGTACCAGGAGCATCATGGTAAAACGTTGCATGGATTCCCTTATTACCAGTCTTAGGATTCTTCAAAAACTGTGCAAAAGGTGGCAAGGAAACATGGGCATAAGCACCAACAGTATACTTTGGTGCAGTTTCTAATTTGTTTGTAATTCCCTCAAAAGGTGTCACGGAATAGTATGGAATCAATGAAGCTGAACCACCACCTGAACAAGCAGCATATTTAGCATTAGGGCCAATAACTGCAAATGTTTCGTCTGTCTGTAAAGGTAAGATATTATCCTCATTCTTCAATAACACGATGGATTCAGATGCCAAAGCTCTTAGCAGTTTGGAAGTTTCTGGTGTATTGTTATCCGCATTGGCAGGACCGTCCTCTGGAATACTTGATTCCTTGACAAATTTGACCAATTTCAAAACACCTCTAACTCTGTCATCCAAAATATCCAAGTGAAGCTCCTTAGAATCAATCTGCTGTGCCAGTGCAGCAGAGGTCCTAAACTTTGGTGGGCCTGGCATCTCAATATCTAACCCTCCTTCCATGGAGTCTTTACATGTATATGTACCGAACCAATCGGACATGATACAGCCATCCCAGCTCCATTCCTCACGGAGGATCTTTTGCAAGAACAGCCTTGACTGTGAAACATGCTCACCATTAATTTTGTTGTAACCAGTCATAAATGCCTTAGGGTTTGCCAACTTCACTGCAAGTCTAAATGGCTCCAGGTATATCTCTCTCAATGCTCTTGTAGTGACCAAAGAGTTAGAGGATGAACGTTCATGTTCCAAATCATTACACACATAGTGTTTCATGGTAGCAGCCACTTTCTGAGATTGTAAACCATTGATGACATGAGCACTGGCCACCCCGGAAAGGTAAGGGTCTTCAGAGAACGACTCAAATCCTCTACCACCCAGTGGGCCTCTTTGGATGTTTGCTGTCGGACCCAAGTTCACATGAACACTTCTATCTCTAGCTTCAATACCAGCCAGCTCACCTGCTTTGAACCACAGATCTTTGCTAAAAGTCGACGCCAAACCTGTGCCATTTGGCAGAACTGCACCAGGAACTCCGTCAAAGATCTTTACGCCGCGTATACCGTTGGGACCATCTGAGAACCTCATAGATGGTATACCAAGTCTTGGAACAGCATTTGTGTGCCAGATATCACGACCAGCAACAAGGCTAATCTTTTCCTTCAAGCTCAATTGTTGTAGGACTTTTTCAACGTCAAACTCAGTCATGATTTGTCTTGTCAATAGTGGTCGTAGTTCTGTGTAGGGACATTATGTTACCTTCGAGGGTCTTTTATAACTGCCGACCAGTCATGTTCCCTTCACCACATGCCAGTCAAGCTCTCATTTGAGCCGAGGTCTTGTCGTTTCTTCGATTAAAATCCCTATTATGGAGCATAAAGAGCAGCTGCCAATAAAGAAACAGCAAGTTATGAGGGGACCTCAAAAGTTTTGAAATTAGATCACCGACGATCATGCAGTGAATGCAAAAAAAAACAAGGTTGTGGGGAGTGTGCAGGACACTGCCGCAGCGGTGTTACATCGGCGGAGATAAGCAAAGCCGCAAGGCAGGGTCAGCGAAAGAAACTTTCAAACCGAAACACCGATGTTCCGTACACTTTCCTAATTGTTCCTCTCCCACTTGGCGAGTTTAATGCAATACACAGGATCCAATGAGGCATTGTCCTCGTGGAGTATCTGGCGTTTTACAGTCCAAGGAAGAGTTCTAGGGCCAAATTGGTGGCGTTTGTCTGTGAGAGATATCACACTCCGTTATGCCTCTGGTCTTTTTAAGGCTCTTCCCCCCTATGGCTGGTGTTTCCACGAAGCGTGGACATTGCTAGGATATGGTAATGTTTTCCTGTATCGGTAACGTACAAGACATTGCTACAGCTCTGCGTGACCTCCATTGGAGTTATGAACACTGTGACAATCAGTGCATCCTCGCGCATTGAAAATCGCCGAGTATTAGGCCTAACAATTTGAGAAGTGTTGTATCGATTACACCAAGGGTAGGTCGAGCCCAACAAAAATGATGACGAGTCTCTAAGTTACTTCAACGGACAATTACTTGAGCCTATTTGAGGAAGAACCTCGGTCAAAAAGTCTACACTCTTGTCATATTTATCACCTTCAATTCTCCTCTAGGGGCTTGCTGCATTACAGGACTGATTGCAGGACTTCTAAGATTCATCTTTCAATTGGAGGGGTGAGGTCAAAATAGCAGATTTATCATGGGTGTGCAGGTATCTCGCATCGCTAGGTGCCAGGTTTTATCACGACATTGTCTCAATCGAATATTTGTGGCCTCGGTTGAACTGAAAGTGGATACGATATTCCAAGATAAACCCCACTAGGGCCCTCATCGTGCTTCGATCGAATGCTTTAAACCAGCAGTGGTTCAATAATAACTTGTCCGCTTGTGTCATGTCTATCAAAACAAAGTAAATATTTATTTCTCAGTTGTTGACGGATGACCAATTAGCGTATATAAATAAAGGGAAGAAAGATCACCAACATTGGATTCCATTTGCTTCAAGATAAATGCAGGAAACATGTCAGGTAAAATACTCAACAAAATGGCTCTTTCAACTTCAAAGGCTGAATATTTGGACACAGAAAGATTTGAAGCAGAGGATCAACCAGCAAAAAAGCTCAATGATTATCTCACAGAGACTAGACCATGGTACAAGGTTCCACACCTTCGTGCCTTGGCTTTCCATGTCTTTGTTGTTACGCTGTCTGCTACAAACAACGGTTTCGATGGTTCCATGTTGAATGCACTTCAGTCCTTGGTTTACTGGAGAAAATATATGGGATATCCTTCAGGTTATATTCTTGGTGCCTTAAGCGCCGCTCCTGCTTTTGGTGCAATCAGTTCTTTCTTGTTTTCACCTTATCTCGCGGACAGATATGGCAGAAGATTTGTCTTGGTTGCTGGTCAATTTATTGCTCTGATTGGAGCTATCCTACAAGGAGTCTCGAATAGCTATGCATTTTTCTTTGTCTCCCGTTTCATCATTGGTTTTGGAGGTGGTATTTCTGGTGTTGGTGGGCCAGCACTGATTGCTGAAATCTCTTACCCAACACATAGAGAGGTGTGCACCTTTGCGTTGAACATTTGTTGGTACCTTGGTGCGATCCTTGCGGCAGTCATCACGTATTTCACTAGGAACATCGAGTCAAGCTACTCATGGAGAATTCCCTCTTTCCTTCAAGGATTTTTCCCAGTGGTTCAGATTATTCTAATGTATTGGGTTCCTGAATCACCTCGTTACTTTGTTGCGAAGGGTAACATCCCAAGGGCTAGACAAATCTTATCAAAGATCCATACTGGAAACTCAACTGACCCTAAAGATCTTGAATTAGTTGAGTATGAGATAAGTGAGATTGAAGCTGCACTGGAAGCTGAAAAGAGTGCAGGAGCAAATTCTCGTTATTCTGATTTCTTTAAAAGAAAGAGTTACAGAAAAAGATTATTCTTAGTAATCTTCACTTCAACTATGACTCAACTTTCAGGCAATGCACTCTTCTCGTACTATTTGAGCCCTGTTCTAGATTCCATTGGAATAACCGATTCTTCGAGACAACTGTTGATTAACATGTGTCTCACAATATTCAACTTTGCTGTTTCTGCTGCTGTTTGTTCTGTTTGCTGGTACTTCAGAAGAAGAACCTTGTTCAACACGTGTGTTTTCGGTATGCTTTTCACCTACGTTGTCTGGACAGCTTTGTCTGCTGTCAGCTATAAAAGACAGTTCCAGGATCAAGCTGTCTCTAGAGGTGTTCTTGCCATGATATTTTTGTATTACCTGTTCTATGATATTGGAGCCAATGGACTTCCAAACCTCTACATGACCGAGATTTTACCATATTCTCATAGATCAAAGGGTATTGTCATTTTCCAGCTTTGGACTGCTGTTATTGCACTTGGAAATGCCTTCGGAAATCCAAGTGCTATTATCCACCTCGCCTGGAAGTACTACATTGTCTATTGCTGTGTCCTGGCCGTTGAATGTGTTGTTTTCTATTTCTTCTACCCAGAAACATCAGGGCGTTCTCTTGAAGAAGTTGCTGAAGTGTTTGGTGACTACATCGAGCCTATCAACAGATCTTCTCAAGTTGAAGAGGTTTATTCAATTGAATCAAATGGCAAGCCAAACGTTGAACACATAGATAATAAGTGATAAGCCTTCTAAAATGGGTTTTTTATCTATTTTTACTTGTTGTGCGTAATAACAACGTCAATTTCAGGTTATCAGAAGGAAAATATCATTAAATATTGTAAAGCCTTGGCTCTTGAATTACCGTGGCATTTCTCAGAGTTTACTCTGAACATTTGGAGGGTACTACCTAATTATTTTCACTTTTATTGGACAATCGCATAATAACAATGGCTTCTGTTCTATCAATCTTTATGTAGTTTTATACCTCAAACCTCTCTTCAAAGGGAATAATCTTATATATATATATATATATGTAATAGAATTCTATAATAGGGTAATAGAATTCTATAATAGGGCAATTATCCATAAGGTCAGCATGAGTTAACTTTTTAGCCAAAATGTCATCCCAGTATCTACTACTAATACCACAAGCTGCTCAACCACAGTACAATGAGCCAGGTATGTACTCATTACATGGTCATATAAGTAGTTACTGAAAATGGATTTTGTTTTCGCTATAAACAATAACCTCCATTGCACTCGCTACTAGGTCCATATACCAGCAGCTCCAAATACGAATAAAATTTTATTACAAAATTTCCTTTGGATGCACTTCTGTAATATCAGAGAGCAACGATTACATTACAAATACAAAAGGGACTAAACAGTCTTCAATTGCAATATATTGATTCTTAATAAAACAAGAATACTATGAGCATTCATTGTTAGTTAAACTAATCACCTTGCTATAATGTTTATAAGATCTTCGATATCAAAACCTTTAAATGAGAAGAACAGCGAAGATTAAGGCGAGGATTGTAGACCCAGTTGATTTGACACCGACACCTTCAAATGCTGTGACTGATTGAACTGAACTCAATTCGCTTGTAGCTGATAAAGCGCTAGTAGCAGAGGTATTCTTCTCAGCCTCCCCAGCTGTTTCAGATTCAACAGAAGCTTGAGTTGTCTTCTTAGCGCCTTCAGCAACAGTAGTAGCACCTTCAGCACCAGTAGTAGCACCTTCAGCACCAGTAGCACCAGTACTGGTCTTAGTTACACCAGTTTTCTGAGTTGCATTAGTAACTGTTGTTGCACCGTAAGTAGTATATGTCGTTGCGGCCCCTTTAACTGTGGTGGTCAAAACAGTGACATCTGTGGTCTTTAACACCTCACTGCATAGGTTTTCAGAACAGGATGTCACAGTTATAACAGTAGTGCTTGGATTTGGTGACTCTGTTGGACAGTAAGTGGTGTAAGTAGTAACTATACCTGAAACAGTCTCGGTTACAACAGTAACTCCGGTGGTCACATCCATTGTAGAGCAGACGTCATTGCTACACGATGTTACTGTAATAACAGTAGTAGACTCTTGCTCCTTGGTGATTGTTGAGGTGCTGTTGGCGTAAGATGTCAAAGACTCCGAAGAGGTAAACGAGGCACTTGAATCACCGGAGGTGGAAAGCTCAATGGTTGAAGAGTCAGAAGATGAGGCAGCAGATGAGGCAACGGAGGAATCAATAGATGAAGAATCAGACTCATCATCAGATGTGATAGTACTGACAAGAACCCAGGTTTGCTCGGCTCTCTTCACAAGTCTTTCATCTGGTGAGGTAATAACCAAGCGTGCAGTAGAAGTCCATGATGACCCAGACTCAATGTCACCTCCAAACTGAATCTCCAATACATCAGATTCAGCAATTTCAGAGTCCAATGAAATAATAATAGAATCTGGTGTCACATTGATATTAGCCGTAGAAATATCTTCATTGTTCACCCTCACAGATGCATCAGTGTAAACAAACGAGCCAGCGGACCCATTTCCAGAAACTTGAAGATCAACTGAAGACCATGGTCCGAGTGTTCCTGGAATTCTCAAAGTCCAATCAGGGGCACCGGAGTCCAGGATACCAGATAGAACTGGTTCTGAAGTTGGTGTTGAAGTGCTATCAGCGGTAGAGTCGGTGGACTCAGTGGACTCAGTGGACTCAGTGGACTCAGTGGACTCAGTAGACTCAGTAGACTCGGCGGACTCGGTGGACTCAGTAGACTCAGTAGACTCAGTGGACTCAGTGGACTCAGTGGACTCAGTAGACTCGGTGGACTCAGTAGACTCAGTGGACTCAGTAGACTCAGTGGACTCAGTAGACTCAGTGGACTCAGTGGACTCAGTAGACTCGGTGGACTCAGTAGATTCAGTAGACTCGGTGGACTCAGTAGATTCAGTGGACTCAGTAGATTCAGTGGACTCAGTAGACTCAGTGGACTCAGTGGACTCACTAGACTCGAGTGCTGATTCAATGCTGCTGTAGGAAGATTCTTCCGACGTGGAAGAACTCTCTAAGTCAGAAGAGGAATCTTCACCAGGTCTAAATTCAACAACAGTGTAGGTCTCATTTTGGTGATCACACCAGCTTTCGTAGTACACCGCTCCACCACTAGGAACACAAACATCATAACCTCCTTCAGGAAGGTTCAAGAACGAAAGTGGCCAATTGGATGTACAACTATAGGCAAACAAATACTTCACACCTTTTCTCGTCACAAAGAATGTTGCAGTTGTGGTGACAGGGTGATTTCGACTTTGAGCGCTATAGAACCCACCTTCCTTAAGGTTAACATACAAGAAGGATTCCGCCTCCAAAGCCCCTGACATATAAGTGGTGCTCGTTAACAATAGAATGTCGGTAACTTCAGTCTGATCTTCTGTGAAGTTCAAGAAGCCCCATGTTCTATAGCTTTTCACAGGTGAGTTCAACACAGACCATGATGTGAAGACAACTTCAAAGTCCTCTTCAACCTGCATGGTACTTACCGTTGTGTAACAATCAGTACTGTTCAGACCGGCGGTGTAGCTGTATGTGTATGACAAGTCAGTTGTCACAGTATAAGTCTCAGCGGTGTAAGTTGTGTCTGTCAGAGTGTTACTACCAGTCCATGAACTGGAGCTGGACGTGGTTGGTGTTGTGGAGGTAGAAGAGGTGCTAGTCGTTGAAGTAGTCGTCGTTGATGTTGTAGAACTCGATTCTGTAGAACCCGATGCTGTCGAAGTAGTTTCGCAACCGCCGGTATAATCACATGCATTAGCGCCAGTGTCGATGGTATAAACATCAGTTAAGGTAGTTGAACATCTCATAGTTCCAGTAGGCTCAGTGGAGAGAGTGGAACAAGCTGCCAAAGCAGAAGAGGCATAAGGTCCATAGTACTTCCATAATGTCCACCCACAGTTCATACAACTTGCGTAGTAGGTATTCAACTTCGAGTCAGAAGCACAAAGACATGTGGTGTTATATGGACCAGCATAGCTGTTTGTTGTATTCAAAGTACAGTCACTACCGCCGATAATCATCAAACCACAAGCAGCGTGACAGCCAAGTGTAGCACAGTCATCTTCGGAAGCGGCAAGAGCATAAGCTTCAGGGTCTGGATGGGCGATTGCAACAGCTTCAGCATAGGCTTCAGCATAAGCTAAAGCAGCCCCGGCTGCGGCGGGAACAGCATTAGCCCAAGGAAGAGAGTCAGCAATGGCTTTGGCATCTGGTGTTGCAACAGCAATAACAGAGGAAGCTATTGCTAAAATAGCAACAAATAAACGAGTGGATGACCTCATTGATCGTTTGGCCTTTGTCTATGAGGGACGGACTCTTGTAGCCACACGAATGACTGTGGGTGGGAAACAGACAATATATACATGTTTTCGAGTATCCGTATGAGGATGCTCTAAGCTGACACTTCATATCTGTCAATCGGCAAAAATCCTCTTCCATCACTAGACTGTCAGCTGTGGTAATACATGAAGGGTGTAAGAATCTATCCAATCACAGCCCCGGAGACATTATACAAACATGGTACACCCATTTTCTCTCAATACTTGTTGACATGGAGAAACCGGTGATTATGCATCGGAAGCTTCACAAACCTAATAAGAGCCCTTCTTCATGCTTTTTTGTTACAGCTGTCTATGATTACTTCAAGAATGTGCACCCCTAAAAGTGACCTTGGTGCGTCTGCGGTGGAAAGGCGGCCCTACACTATGTCAAAAAAGGTTTGTAAGTTACTCCCAATCGGTACATAGAGTTTGCCCAAGGTGCATTTCGCTGGAAAACAGAATACGGATTAAATAACGGGAACCAAATATGGAGAAGGTAACCGAAATACACCCATGCTCACAGAGAAGCGATGCACTGTAGATGAAGACCACCAGGTGACCGTCAAGTTGTATTTCACCAAAAGTTAATGGGTTCAATTAGTATATTTAAGGCTTTAGTAGAGGTATAAAATTCCGTCACTTAGAAGTGCTATGCATACTGAGTGCATGGAATGCGTGGTGACGTGGGCTTTTGCTATATTGTAATCACCCGCTGATCTTCAGCTCCCTGATGAAACTTACAGTTCATATCATCATAAGCCCCTCCGATGTTTCCGCAACCATTCACACCCTGATAGTTTTCAATTATGTGATGAACCATGATGTGTGTTATATCATCTTGATGCCAATCTAATTGTATACCATAACAGTAACTGCTGATGGCTAAGTATACAATATCTCTTGGCTGTTACGCACTAACGAAAGCCGAGGCACTGTACCTGTGTGTTCATCCTCCTAAAAATTGAAAATTTTGTACTATTGTCCTAACTTAGTTCGCTAAGGATGGAAAAGTTTGTAATCTTGGAGGTGTCGATCAGGTCATGTACACCCTGGTCGGTAGAGTTGCTAAAGCCCTATGTAAATGTGACTGTACATCTACAGAAACCTCCGAGAAATACGGAACCCACACACCTTACGATAGAATTGGGTGTTTCTTTAACCATACGTACGGTTTGCTAACTTTATCAAGATTCACATCCGCATTAGTACCCACCATTGGAGGTGTGTTCTGAGCTCTATTTTTACCATAGTTTCCTCTCTCTCGGTCTTTATGCTTTGACATACTTCAATCAATAGCGCATCAGGGGAGGAAAGGTGGGGGTGCCGCTATGGTTACTACCGTAATGGAATGATTCATATTCACACATAAATCTTCTTTCCCTTCAGACATGACGTATCTTGAAATTTTAATTTGAAATAAAGAAACAAAGGAATCAAATCATCAACCATTGAATAGTCAAATAGTACGGCAGTTTACGGTTCTTTAATTTTTAGTATTATTTGATGCAATTGCAGTGTGTGTTGATCAATAATGTAGCGGCACTATGTACACCACATGTATATATATGTTTTGATGATGCTAATCTCCGAGCTCTGTACACCTATTTGATATCAAGAATACTTTTCAATTTATGTGTACTGCTCTTTAAGACACCCAGGAGGAGTTTCGATTTACACCAACTCAATTCAATTATTGCCGGTCACCTTATCCTGAAATATTTGAAATAGGGCTTTTACATGCTCAATAGTCAGAGATCTTTACACCCTGAACAAGTAAGTTTTACTACGGGAAGATATCGGCCAATTATGCAGATATTGCTTAGCACTTTTCTTAATGTGCTCCTCACGGGTTAGCTTATAGTTTCCAAGAATAATGATCTCACTGGATATTACGCACTGAACAACTGAACAGTTATGAGAAGTTCCTTTCCACTTATAAGTGGGAGCTAAAAGTTACTAGTAATACGAAGTAACGACAATAAGATAACTCTTAATTAATATGATGTGAAAATACAAGATAAAGAGGTTAGCTCATAAGAACTTAGAAAAGAGGGAATACAAGGGTCGAAAGACTCCCTTTAAGACGATCGTAAAGAAACACTGCAATCTTCTGGGTATATGATTGGAGTTGTTATAACACCCCCCCCCCCAAAAAAAAGGGTGTAATAACTGTAGGGTGTTGCAGTCGTTGATAAATTAGGAAACCAAGTCCGAAGTTTGAATATCACATCATATGTGAAGTTGAACATTTTACCAGTTTTGCTTCACACCCAGAAGTATGAAAACCAATCTATTAGATCAATTATATCAATTCTATCAAATATGAACCTGTTACTGATTTGAAGAGCTTGTAATTGATGAGGTGCTTCATTCTAATGCTTTTCTTATTACGACTATGAACCATATACGAGAGCTGCCTTTTCCGGGATGATCTTCATATAAGCGCCGACATGTCATGAGTGTTAATGCAGGAGATCACAGTGTACAACCAATAGAGAAGTACGAGGGTGCCTAGATTATCCCTATTGTAAATTAAAGGTACACGTTTTGGACACCCAATTCTCATGTTTCTCAAAGATACAAAGCGATTGAGAAGTCTCATTTCGCCTATATAAAGGATACAAAAGTCCACTAGTTTCCTTGATATATCCTACATTATTCAATTCCAATTCAACAATCACCAACTTAAAGCTATCTTCTCAACAATGTTCTCTTTCAAAGCAATTTCAACTCTAGCCTTCAGCTTGGGTCTCATTCAGGCTAAATCACTTCCAATGGCAGACGCTATACCAGCCGCTAAAGCAGCCGCTGATGCGTATGCTGAAGCCTACAGTGAGGCAATTGCACTGGGTTACCCAGAGCCGGAAGCCTTTGCTCTGGCTGCTTCTGCTGATGACTGTGCCACTTTCCAGTGCCATGCTGTTTGTGGAACAATGATTATTGCTGCTCAAGGCTGTTCATATGACGGCACTTCTTTCACTGGTCCTTACCTTGAGAATTGTCTCTGTTCTGATCCTGATTCAACTTTCATGGATAACTACAATGCTTGTATGGATTGTGGTTGGACATTGTGGAAGTACTACGGTCCTTACCTTACCGCTGGTCTTGAGCAGTGTCAAATTGACGTCGGGACTTCAACCGACATTGCTACCGAGCCAACTGGTACTTCAAGATGTTCTACAACATTGAGCAGCAGTTACTCTTTGGATCCTAACATCAACTACAGCACATACTTGGCATGAGTGTTACAAAGTGCCTTTTTTTTTTTGTTTTTTTTATATAAGTTTTATGCAATCCATATTTTAAACAACAAGAAAAGACTACCCTTGTAGTACATTGATGAGCTGATAGTCTTACTCCAAAGATCTTTCAGTCTTTCAGGTCTCAATTTCTTTACAAGACCAATCATGATCATACCTTTCTGTGCTCTTTAGAGACAGAACAGAGTTAGTGATTTTAGAAGAGCATGAATGCACTCGGGTGTGTGTGTCTTACTGAGATGCAGCGAGACACCTGATGAGGATGTTGCGCGCGGCGTTGATTACGCGGTCGGCAGAGAGGTTGCACGAGGCACAGGGGAACGGGCTGTTGGCCAGAGGAGCGTGCTGTTGGCCAGAGACGGTATGTTTTATTGTCCCGTAGCCAGCGCGTGTCTTGCTCGTGTGCTCTTCAGTCATCCTCGAGAGGCGTGTCCCCGTGAATTGGCATTTGAAGGCCAAACGCTAGTGGATTAGGGAGAAACAAGATGAACTGGAGGACAAGATGTGACAATTTACGGGTGTTTTTTGGGTAGATGTCGATGAAGTCAGCGATGCGTTTGGCGGTAACATGCGTGCGCGCGCAAGGTGGTAAAGACACGCGCCTTCCGG